GCTGAAAAATTAAGGGCTGGATCGTCATGATCATTTCCTAACAACTAGATCAGGTGGAGTAGTGGAACCTCCAAAAAAAATATGATATTTAATACAATTGTTCATTTTTACTAAGATTTGATATACATGTATATTTATGCACTATGTACAATAGAATACATCGTATAAACCACCTAGATGTAACATTTTATTAATACGTCTTTAATAAACACACTTTACAACTTTTATTACCCTAAAGATCCCTGGATAGTTTTCTTTTCATCCATCTCTAATTTTTGCACCAAACAGCTAGTTTCTCTCTCTCTCTCTCTCTCTCTCTCTCTCTCTCTCTCTCGATTAGCCTAAACGTACCAAAATAAGCGGGTCAGGTGTTGATTATGATTTTCCACTTCTTAACCGATCATTGAATATACTGTTGCGTCACTTGCACAGCACATAATATACGTATTTACCAAGTAGACTACTTTCGTTATAATGATATACGTTAGTATCGTTTACGATCTTGCCTCTTATATCGATAGGTTGTTCAACACAATATGAACTTACGAATAATGTTAATGGATTTTACATACTGTTGAAAGTTGCGTGAACAACGCCTTCGATATATTCTCTATTTCTGTTCGTACGGAACCTTTCCCCATTATAAATGAATCCGGTTATAGATGAACGTTGGTCAATACATGAATCCTCTAAAAATCACTTCCCAATGGTCTGGAATGCTAAACACGGTTTAGATGATCAAATTTTGTTAAAATAATTATTAATTGTGTGCAGCTCAACATATAATTACTCAACGTAAGCTCCAAAGAAAAAGACAAATGAGCTATTGTTATTAAATGTAAATAAAGCCTAAAATCATAAACATAAAAAATTCTTAATATAATATAATATATAATTGTGCAATAATATTGATAAAATTGTGTGTGTCGTCAAAAGTTGAAGTAAAAGATACACGAACGGAATCGAGCTAGATGATTAATTGAAATGAACTCTCGATAAAGTTGATACTACAGCGTAACTTGCTGTCCTTTACGAGTGTAAGTATTACACAAAAGTACAGAACTAATCGAGTAAATGTACAGTTAAATTGAAATAGCCACATAGGCATACTAGACATAACCACCAAACTATTTGCCGCAGCTGAAAAGCCTCTTTTGAAGTACCACATGCGGAAACTATCGATATTCGATGGCTGTTCACCGCATAACTTCATGTAAATATTAGCTACAGGCATTCAATGGATTGAAGTTGAAATAATTAAAGTTGCAGTAGGTCAGTATAGCGCTTCCGGCAAAGGCATATTTGGCTTCAATAAATGCCAGGAATAAGAAAAAACACAAAATCCTCGGAGAGTACGGCAACAATAGCCGTCGGTGGAAGACACATGATAATTGCAACGTCGATCAGTCTCGCGGGAGAGCGGAATAAAGGAAGAGCGAGACAGAGCAGAGGCTGCGTGACTTTCGCAATTCGCTGATCTAGCTCTCTGCACAATTGGTTTTTGTTTGTATAGCAGCCAGTCAGTCACGCAGTTCAAGTCTGGCTGTGCCGATTTTCCCTCCTCTCCCGCCACACTGATACTTTTACGCTTTTCACTCCGGCTTTTGTCTTTGAGTGCTATTCCACTGTCCGGAGCTTGGAGTGCTATTAGATAGTCGAACCGCGGAAGGGTTTAATTACATTTCGGGGATAACAGTGCGCTACCTTTCTTTTCTTCTTTTTATCTTTCCCTCTATTTTCTTCTAGAGACCTATTATTAGATGCACAATTGTCATTTTTATTGAATCGTAGGGTTTCAATTTCGCGACCGCCGTGATCTTGTTTTGGTACATATTTGCCATATCACTGCTCGTTTATAATGGACTTTCATGCAGATCCAAATCCAGCCCGAACTCAGCCATCGAATCTGATAGCGAATGACTTTAAAGTCCTGCTAGTTTCCTGAAATACTAAAAAATGAAAATTTGAATACTTCGAAGAAAGACTGAGCTGATCACTCAACCTTGATAAAATTTCCTTTTCATCATTATTAGAAGTAAGGCTGTGATTATGTTTACCCGTACCTGCAAGTGTATTCAATTCAAACCTTCCACGCAAATTAAAGCACCGTGATTATACGAAAAAAATTTATAAAGATACCAACGAATGATTAAATTCGTATTGCAGATAAAATAATAAAATAGAGCAGCGTTAATTAAAGTGAAATAATTTTCCAATACGTTTTGCGTAAAAGAAATACTCTATTTTTTAATATCTTCGTTTGGATGCGAATATCGAGTGATTTCAAATTTTTCATTTTGACGAGTTCATATTCACACTGTCAATCGAGGCAGTCGTACGTGTGGACAGAAATTCATCGAATATGGGGACACATGGCGACGCAATACTAAATCGAGAGCCCATACGTTTTGATTCCGCCCGAGTGAAATATTACGAATTCCGAAAATACGATTTACGCACGTACGCACGCGGGTGAAAGAAAAAAATCATTGCGGAACTCCGCACAAGTAATAAAAAAAATGCGAGGAAGGTCTGCACGGCGGATGCGTGTATAGGAAGTCGAAAAAGGTGCCTCTTGTAAAAATGTTACGCAAGCCTGAGAGGCTTCGCGAGAGTTGAGTTGCGCTAGAAAGCCGATTAAAGCGGCGTGAAGAATAGCTTTATTGTCTTGCCCCTTCCTCGCGAACATTTCACCAGTTCCGATTGCCGAGGGTCTTTCTTTTGCGAGAGTAAACGTTTCACGATGATGCTGTAAGTCAATGTGTGTCAGGTTCATAATGCCGAAGCCGAGCGTAATCACTATTACAAAATGGAAAGGCGCGTACGTATTATTTCGATCGATTATCAGTTATTGATTACCGCGCCGTTGCTCACGATTTCAACCGTGAAACCGCGAGTCAAAATCAACAATCGAGGCACACAGAAACAAAGCAGTGCTCGCGGAGTCCGAGTAATCGATGAAACGAAAGTAATAACATTTTTCAGGTCTCGGCGGGGCGGAAAAAAAAACATCGGTTTATTGAGTTTTCGATGCGCGCAACCTTGTTGGGAAGGTAGGCAGAAAATCTAGTTTGCCATTATCTGTCTCGCTGCGCCAGCGAAAAAATACCAAATGGCAAGGAGCACAGCACGCTGTTTTTTTTATTTTTTTATTTTTTTATTTCACACTGGTGGTCAATTCAATTTTACTATTTCAAGCTCGACCGTATTTACTTGTAACTAATTGTTGGCATATCGTGTTTCAATATTTACGCGGAGCATCCAATAAAAAGAACGGAAAAACAGTAACGGATGTTGCATGGCAATGTTTCATCTATATATATGAGCGTCAGTTCTGATGTATGTTTGGTCGACGTGACATTCTCTCTCTCACTCTCTTGGCAGTACCTATAGAATGTTTTTATTTTGGCCAGATGTACTGGTGCTTTCTCTTGCACGTTCCCAGCAGCTAGGGTGAGAGGTCGATAGTTTAGCATTTTTGAAAAATCCACGGCGTGCTGTGTCGTACAAGGCGTTCGTTTCGGTATCGAAAGCGAAGGTTACACGTTTTGTGTCGGATCCGCGTGCTGTTATAAAGGATGATGCCCACGGCTGTACAGCTGATATAATCGATCCAACGGTTACGCTTTCACAAAGTGCTCAAAAATTCACGTTTATCTGATGCAGGAAGGGTTCGTGAACTTGCACGAGCCTCTTGTCTATGATGATGAATTATCTCTCGTTTTGCGATAGGAAGCCGTAAAAGGAAACGACAATAGCGTCGAGTATACGGCTCTCCATCGATGCGGTCGATCCATCTCTCATGGTTGAGATGAGTCATTGTTTGTTTTACAGAAACATTGTAATAATAACTTGGCATTGGTCTTTTGGCCAAGCTCGCTTTTATTGCGCTTGGCAAAATTCCCAAGTCGCTCGTTCGAGAGCACGTCTTCTTTCCCAACCAATTCGCACTTTATCATCTTGTACTCCCTCCCTCGGACGAGACGCGCGTATATTTGCCATTTTTTGGCTACCGATGACCCGTCGATGCTCGCTTCTCCCGGAGCGTATAACTCTCACCGCCGAGAAGGAGCAGACGAGGAACAAAGTTTCTTATTAAGCAATGCTGCAACACTTGGAAATTGAGCTGTATTTTTTTTTTTTTTTTGTTGCTTGGACATGAGATCTGGAACAGCGATCCCGTCTGTACGTAGAGGCACTTTACGAGCGCGCGATAGCACGTGTGAGCAATAAAATCAAGATGCCGCTTTCTCATTCTCGATTTCGTTCTAATCCAAACTATCTCAATTATAGAAGTGCCTTTCACGCCCCTCCGCCCTCCTATCGTACTGCACCATAAAGCGTAACGTGTGCTTTTAGTGTACCCGAAACCCTCATAAACTTCCCCATTGTTACGTCTTCCATCCAAAGCTTACGCCTCTGTATGTGCCAGGCTATCGAGCGAGAGATTCATTCATTGCCCGCGCGCAACGTTATTTTCCTTTTCTTCTTTTACTTCGCCTCTTACTCTGTTACGTGGCATTCATTCACCGCTCGGGTCGACCAATGGAACGCCAAATATATTTCAGCAATTCACTAAGCCTTTGTTTAAAAGCAAAATCACAATTAATCATTTCATCAGATTGACGACCTTTGCGAGTTGATATAGTACTCGAATATTTCGATCTTTTCGTCAATAGGCACAGCAATCGTACAAAATATGTTGATTCAACTTTTTTTTTTTATCAAAATAAAACTAGCGGGTTGGTCACAATTATAAATGTCGCTGCGCAATGAGATGAACCCGCTCGAGCGAGCGACTTACATAATATGTGTGTGTGTATATATGTATTTATCTATACATCGCAGAATTAATTTGAAACCATTTTATCGTCACAAATCGATAATCATCAATTTACCCAAATGCGTCAGTTATGTCGGATATGTTAATAGCTCCACAATGTCGCCAGTTAATAAGATTTCAAGAACATTACCGAATATAATTGGATATTGGATTACAGATGAGTTGCAATTGCCCTTTGACGACTGCCGTAGGGCCGACGTTGGCATCAACATGTGGCGGACCATCATTTATGCTCTTTATGGGCTTACTTGAAGTTTTCCTCAGGAGCCAATGCGATCTCGAGGATCCCTGCAATAGGCCTATACATCAAAGACGTGTTAATCCAAGGTATCATTCGACTTTTATCTTAAAAAGTGTTTATATTTTTCAAACCATGAGATTAAGTTTAAAGTTTACATAAGCAACGATACCACGTGTAATCAATCAATGGTGATTGGCTCAAGTTATCGTAATTTAAAGCAACCCTTCTTACTATTGGACCTTTGAACTAAGTGGGCCTAATGTTGACCGAGTAACCCGATATGAAACTATTTGGAAAAGATAGACTGTACTTATCGAAGTCATGTGTGAAATATAAAAATAATTTGCAATATCAACATTTCCGGAAGTATATAATCGGTTATATTCATAAGTAAATTCGTCAATGATGAAATCGTTATTGCAAGCATTATTCATCATTTACTATTATTTGTTTTTAAAATACTTTCGTATTGATTAACATACCCGCTACTTTATATCGTGGTTCAATGCGATGAAAAGAATATTTTTAATATCGAGAATTATTTTTCCCGACGGGTGTTTTCAAAATTGAACTGTGACACAATTAAATTTCATGCCACGCAGTCATAATCATGGAATATAATCGAAAATATTGACAAAGACAGCAATCGATATATGAAGTATCTTAAATAAAAGTAGCCGCATATGAATACGTATGTCTTGTCTAGCGGTACCCGAAATTGAATAGCAATTAGGCACAGCATTGGCTGGTGCTTGTGTTACTCATGGTCTAATTAGTTCTCACGGGCTTCGCGCATCGACATGCTCACGTAGGCATATATCGAGAGGCCTCAGTGGGTCTCTAACCTCGCCGCATTTACAGATAGGATCCAGCGTGAATTATGTTGCCCAAGAGCATATCATTAATATACCGTCCTTAACATTACAATACCAAAATGCTCGTTTACTGCACAAATAATCTCCATCATGAACATACATTATTATCGACTACACACTGTGCATTGTTTAGCAACAAAACACGCTCTCTACTTTCTTTTTCGGCAATTATTTCGTGCAAATATAATGCTTCGTTCTTTGTCAATTGTTGCACGGATATAATTCATCCGAAATTGTTTGGCGGTACGGCCATTATCATACGAGACACCATTGCACTCGGGGCGGCGAAAAAAAAATAGTCGTCCTCGTGGAGAGCACGAGAACCTCTTATCTGAAATGGCTTAACGACTAGACGGCTGTTACTACTTGATGGGCCGCGTAAAAACTCGAGCACACAGAGTCTATCTTTGGCTGCAAGCCTTCTCTCTTTCTCTCCTTCTTTTTTCGTTTTTTTTGAAACCGTTTTCAAGATCTCTTTTTTTATGGCGATTGTTCAGTTAATGGTCGTCGTACGTGCGCGCGATAAGGTTACTTGAAATAAACAACTTTTTTTAAGGATTATTTTAATACAATATGATTCTCGAAGTAACTGTGATGGAAAAATATGTTTCAACTATTATTACACTGGATAAAAGAAAGGTTATATATAAATAGTTATACGTTAGTATACAAACGTCGGTATAAACTTTCTCCATCATTCTAATTAACATAGTTATTGATATCTGCGTTAAGAAAAGAACTAACGCGGGTTTCATAGAACGTTTTTATAATTGTTTTCGTACATGCATTATTACCGGAATATTACTTTTTTGGCACGAACTGTTTTACACGAATCAGCCTCGTCGAAAATCCATTCGAATAATTATTCGTTCTTCGCATCTCATCGTCGAATTCGCGAAAATATTTTCGACTGAGTAACTCGGTACGTGAGATATACGTTTGATGGGATCCCGTTACGTCGCACATTGCGTACTTTACAGCAGATGACCCGAGACATAGTTTACGGTCTACCTTAATTACAATATCAAAGTAATTTGTTCTGACCAAACGTTGATCTTGTTTGAGAGCTAGGCAACAAGTTTTATAGCAGAGGCTTAAAAAAAGCAGACAAACCCAGGACAATCATTAAACTAGAATGATGTTCAGATATAAGCAGAAATGATAACAAATATTATGCGGCAAGAATACACCATCCAAGCAATGGCAAAAATAATACTGGCCAAGGAACGGAAGAAGAATAAGATGCTTGTTTTCTCCGCAAAAGCGTAAAAGCTGTAGAGTATCTAGGCGCGTTGCGAGCGAGAGAATTACCAAACAATCGGACACAGAGAGGATGCGGCGGCACGAGCGTTTGGGAGACAGGAAAAGAAAAGTCGTGAGCTCGCTTTGCACGGCGCGGAAACCGCGAAGTATAGAGTGGTAGAAAGTGATTCCGCGCGGCCGCGAAATGAAATTACGTCAAACCTAACCTGTTTTCTTCCCCCCCCCCTCTCTCGAGTATACATGTGAGAAACTGCGCACCTTTCGCTAACCCACTTCGAAAGCTTGTGCTGCTGCTGCTGCTGCTGCTGCTGCAGCTAGTAACCGAACGACGAGTATCAGCCGATTTATGGGCTTTCGGGCTAAGGCCACTTTATGGCCCCCCAAGTGCCAGCCGGGGATTTGCTCTGGACTCTAATGCTTTATGCCGTTGCAATAATCGGGATTTGGTACACTTGGTTGCGCTGCACCACCTGCTGGTGCAGTCGCTAACCGTGCAGATCAGTTTACATTTCTTTTCACGTGCAGTACTAGTTTTCATTGATGTCCTTTCAAACAAATAATGATGAATTTCGCAAGAACTGGGGCACACAATTTTCTCATTTGCAATCGACTTAATTATATAAACTAATATGGAATCAAAAGTACATCACTTGTCTTCGTTTGGAAAGATAGACGTTTCTGTCAGATTTATTATTAATCGATGGATTCACATAAAATATCTGAAAGGCGTTTCCATTCTTGCGAAAGTCTCGATTCATATCGCAATAGCCCATTGAACAAGACTTTCTAGTTTTCATTCGCATCGATGTGCACTTGAAACATCAATCAATTTTTGCCTTCGACGCATATAGAAATTGATTACCCCAGTGTCTGCTTGAAAATCATTTTACTACATGTCAAAGTGATTTTTCACTTGAGCCGAAAATTGATTGTGTGGGTTCGAATGATCCGGACTTTTTTAGCTGTCGGCTACGACAACCCACGGCTCTTTTGTAATGTTTTAATGCCTTCGTAAACTTTCAGTACGCTGTTGAATGCTCGGTATGTGGAATAATAAAAAAGATTATGTAAGCAGTCATGCTGTACATAGGATCCAAATTGAAACTTTCGACACGAGCTTCATTTTTTTTGCATACATTTTGCGGCTGAGAGTTTCCATGTTTTTCATATCCAGGTATGATTTCGTGGTGATCGGAGGAGGTAGCGGTGGAGCAACAGTAGCCTCGAGGTTATCGGAGGAAAGTCGATTTTCAGTACTACTTTTAGAGGCTGGACTTGACGAGCCGACGGGCACCCAAATACCTTCCTTTTTCTTCAACTTCCTACACTCGGATATCGACTGGAAGTATTATACCGAGAGCGAAGATGAGGCATGTCTGAACAAGGAAGACCGAAAATGCTTTTGGCCAAGAGGAAAGGTTCGTGCATTTATTTTTCGTTTTTTTTTTGTTTTCAAGAATCACCTTTAATAAAAATCAAGTGGATTTTTGTTGAATTTGCTCATGTTCTACTAAAATAACAAGTTTTTGTTATTATAGTAGATAGTAGAACAAGAGCAAACATTTCTTTAAATTCCTTGCCTTCACATTCTATTAAATTTGACAATCCTTTGAATGCGATTTTTTCCTCTTAATTTTTGCATTTATTACTGAGAAAATATGCCGGAAATTATCATATCCGCTTATTTCACGGATATTGTTGTTAGACCTAATATTGTGCTTAATAAAAATATACGTGAAAAAATGAAGATCGATGACCGCTGTGCTTTTTTGACATCAAGCGCACAAATTTAATTTTCTTTTGTGAATACATGATATGCAGAGAACGAATATAGAGTGCTTTATATTTGCCTGATTGATGTTGTTTGTTTTTTTTCAAAAAGAAAAATGAAAACACAATATTCTCTATCCAGTGAACTTTACATGGCGCGATATCGATACGAAGGCTAAAAAGAAACCTTGTTTTCAAAACGCATATCCCCAACGACAAAAAGAATAAAATACCGAAATAAAATATTGAGCTGTACAGAATAGCTTGCATGACTGCGCGATCCTCGCGGTTATTTTGTATCTGGTCCGGACGCGTTTGAGCTTGCGGTAGTAGAAGGTGGAATGAAGTACGATGTAATAAAGCGTCCACGGACAGGTGTTGGGCGGCACATCGGTGATGAACGGTATGACATACATGCGCGGCTCACGCAAGGACTACGACGACTGGGCGAGGCTCGGCAATCCAGGCTGGTCGTACGACGACGTGCTTGCCCACTTTATCAAGAGCGAGGACAATCTGCAGGTCAACGACATGGATTACGGCTATCACGGGGTCGGCGGACCACTCACCGTCACCCAATTCCCTTATCACCCGCCGCTGAGTCACGCTCTCCTCGAGGCTGGCAAGGAAATGGGTGAGCGAACATGTACCCTCTCTCTCCACTATTCGCATTTGCATTCGTTTCCCCCACCCACCCGCCGCCTATCCTCCCGCAAATTAGCCCGACAATTCGATCGTTTTCTCTGTCGCTGTGTTGCAGGCTGCACCTTTCCTTTCTGCGCGAGACTTCTTGATTATTTTTCGATAGCGCTATCAAAAAATAATTTCGACTCTTCTTTCTTTTTCTTTGCGACGTCGCGCGTAAAAGATTTTTTGTGTCCTTTCGATTTTATTTTTATATTCTGTTTCGCAGCTGTAAATTAAACCTCTCTTCTTATTTTTTGTTAGATACCCTTTTTCACCCACGTCACGATTGCTTTTTTGTCTATTTATCGGCTTGCGCAAGCTTAGAGTTTTCTAGTAGCTAGGTACATTTTTCTCCCACTCGGCATGTAGAGGCGTACAGCCACGCTTTTTATTTGAATCGTTGAATTGTAACCCACGTAGGTTAGCAAATGGATAAACATATAATGATTGGCAATGAAACGTGGTTATGTAGGTTACGATTCGGTGGATCTGAATGGCAGGACCCACACAGGCTTCGCGATAGCACAGACAACGTCGCGCAACGGCTCGAGGCTATCGACCGCAAGAGCCTTCCTTAGACCAGCGCGCAACAGGCGCAATCTTCACGTTATGCTCAATTCCACTGCTACGAGGATACTCTTCGACAGAAACAAGAAAGCCGTGGGAGTTGAATTCGTGCATGACGGACAATTGCATCGTGTGGCTGTCGACAAGGAAGTCGTTGTCAGCGGAGGTATGAAAGTTACTTTTTTTTTATGCGACAATATGTTGATTAACTTTCGTAATAGATTTGATCAGGTAAGTAATTTCAATCAGTATTGAAATAGCCATCAAGATACGTTTGGCTTTTTTACGACGACCAATAACTTCACAGAAAATGGTCGGTATGTCCACTGACTATACGTATATCGTAACAAAGTTGCTGAAACAGCAATTTTTCACAAATTGCACTAGTTTGATTGAGTCAATTTGACACTGGTGTATACTGACCACCCGGGGATTTTGAAAAATTGTCCGCTGGCTTGTAACAGACACAAAGAAAAAAGTTGGAAAGAACAAAGTTAGAAACGCAATTTAAAGTTACGGCTCGTTCGTTTTGACGCAGCGTTGTTGGGTGAAAAATGGATCGAGTCAAGTTTTATTGCGCAAGGACACTACTCCCACCCTCCGAAATCCAAAATAACACAGCCAGCTTTTATTCGCGTGCCATAGCCGCGAGAAAGCCGATGCAAAAAGCCAAAGAAAGTCGTACGTGATCTGTGCAGGGGCAGTAAACTCGCCGCAAGTTTTGCTGAATAGCGGCGTGGGACCTCGAGAGGAACTGGAGGCCGTTGGAGTGCCCGTGGTGCACGACTTGCCGGGAGTTGGCAGGAATCTGCACAATCATGCTGCTTACGCGATTGCCTTTACCATCAACGACACCGACACTACTCCACTTAATTGGGCCACCGCGATGGAGTACTTGCTGTTCAGGGACGGACTGATGTCCGGCACCGGTGAGTCTGATTTATTATCCGATGGTGCTTGATTTACTACGTTCCCGATCGATAGGTAGATGACAGTACACTTTTCCCACGGCGAAAGTGCCTTGAAGCGCCTCTCTTAACCGTACAATTACTCGTTTTCGAGGGGGCGGCGAGAAGACAAGAATCGATACTTGTTGTTGACAGCATCAACGCGTACTTTGGAGGCTGCGTGAAATTGGCTCATTTATATTCCCAAATAGAATTTTGCGCGCATGTAAAGCAGCTGTTGCTAGGATATTACGTAAACGGGCATAATTTACAACACTTTCATATTTTGGAAGGTAAAGAGCGATTTTTCATCGTGCGCGCACTGCTCGGGACTATAAGCTGTTGTTGAAAGTTCAATAAACAACTGGGCGCCGCCGCCGAGCGCCGCCTCCGAGCGCCTCTAATTTTCATATATTCCCGTGAGAGGAGAACAGATTTTACGCTGCGCTCGCTACTCCCCCCCAAACAGTGTAAGTAGTAACGGATGTGTATGCTCAGACGAGCGCAAAACTGAGATAAAGCACGACTCCGATGTTTTCGGGAATACTGCGCGACTCGTAAAATGCCGTTGCCTCTTTCTGCAATAACGGCTCCTGTGAATTATTAATCTAGTTTTGTACGTATCAGCAACTTTCTCGTGATTACTCCTACCTCCTCCTTTCTCAGTGTTTTTTCCAACAGAAATGCGATTGAATTCTAAAAAATGTGATTTATGCACGGAGTCACCTTGACGAATTCTTTTCGCGTGCCAAATGTAAATATCAACTCAAGCACGAAGAAAGTCATCACTCGCATCTGTCATTCCAATCTTCCATAAATGTACGACTAAGCGAAGCGGAATATTTCCAGGAAAAACTTTCAAGGCTTAATTTGCTGAGAGGAAATTTCCTAAAGCTTCGACGCAATATTTCCTCTTCATCGACTGTTCGTAAGCACACGATTCCTCGACGATGAAGATTTTCATAAAATTGTATCACAACACAATTGAACGCGCCGTAGCATCGACTACATTAACGCTTGACGGTAATTTTTTAGTCATCGGAATTCAGCAAATCACGTACGATCGCGAATTCCTGATGCGGGACTCGCTCGCAAACCAAGCTTGCACGGCACCACCCGTCATTAACGATAGCGCGCCGCATCTCACGATGAAATTCCGGCTTCATCATAGTGTGCTAGCGCGAGGCACTACTGCATGCAGCAGCCAGTGAAAGCAGATTGCGCAATAATCTGTTTCGCGCCCGCGAGCGAGCGGCGATCAATGACGGTGCAACGCGGATTTTATCATATGTCCGAATCGCCTCAGCCGCTGCATTTATTAAGCAGCGAGAGATGAATTAGGGGCCTTCTTTTTCTTGGCGCCAAGCTCTGTCGGATTGATTGTTATCTTTTCTCGGGTAGCTTCGTATGTCTGATGTATTGGCGTGCCAGCGTTGTGCACGCCGACGCGCGAGCTTTTTTCTCCATTTTTGATAGCTTGATAGTGCTGCCTGATAAACATACTTATTCATTTAAAACATCAATTTTATTTTGTTTTTTTATAGCTACCATCGAGTGATAACTTTGAACGTCACTAGCACAAATGACCGTTATGCAATTGGTTTAAAACAGTAACTATAATTAGTTGACTTTTATCTTTTTCGTATTTCAATTAGTTCATGTAATAAAGTTTATTGAAATAAAGTTTCGAATGGTACTTCCCCAATTGTATATAACTATTATCAGTGACTGCTATCTTGTCTATGTATGGCAATCGATTCCAACAAATAAATTAGATACATTTTTTAAATTTTGTATCCGTATATTATATTGAATTGATTTAGAATCTATTAAAACATGCATCGTACTTTACAAAAACTATAAATTACTTTGACAATCACCAAAATCGGTGGTGCGCTGCTAAAGTACAATTGAAAAGTTTCACGAGCATAGCTAGTTAAACTAAAATGTGGAAAATTATAATTTTGCAAGATTTAAATTTTAAATTCAGAAGTATGCTCTTCATTTTGCAAAATTATAATTTTTCACATTTTACTTTAACGAGCTTTGCTCGGTAAACTTTTCAATTGTAGTTTAGCAGCACACCACCGATTTTAGTGATTGTCAAAGTTATTTATATTTTTGCGTAAAGTACGATGCATTAAATTATAATTTAAATTCTCATTAAATAAAGAGCATACTTCTGAATGGCATTGTATTAGACGATAAAATATGACAATTTCCAAGTGTATTATTATAGAGCAGTCAAAGTAATTTTGGAGTATCATCTAAAATTACATGGTGTAAGCTAGAGCTCTCTAAGTAGAGCGCACATTGAAAAACGGTCGCGGAAGCCCCACAATAATACAACCTTTAGCGTAGTTTGCCCCAACGAGACACGTTACGTGCATAACTTTCCCCTCCGGGCGGCAATTAAAAATGCATCTCGCTTGGGTGAGAGAGCGGGAGAGACGGACAAGCGCGCACGACCCCGACGTACGCTACGCACGCGACCTGTGCATCTCGTTCATTCGCGTCCTAATGAAACTGGACTTTCCGTGGTGCAGCAGAAAAATGGAAAGTAATCACTTAAAGAGCGGCGCGTTGAAAGGCGCCGCGACTTTTTGATTTACGATCGAATATTCACGCGCGCGCGGGCAAGTTGCATACCCTCGGGCAGCGCACAAGTGTTACATGAATGAAAGCCTCGAGGGCTCGACCCTTATGCCGCGCGGAGAGATAGGAAAAATGAAATCGCAGAAAAGTGCATTGCTTTCGGTATTACCTCCCGCGAAATTGCATTTTATTCATGAGCTGGCGACGGAATGAGACAGAATGAAAAGAAACAAAACGAAAATAGCCGTCGCGACTGGAAATTATCGCGGCTGACCGGCAGATACATTCTGCAAGCCTTGCCTCGTGTCTGGCTTTAACTTCATTATGTGGGATTATAAATTAGCTGAGCCGCGACAATAATTTATCCCTTGTTTCACGTTTAACAATGAACCTTGTAGCTGCTCAACTTTTTATTTTCATTCTCTCGCCATGTGTAAAGTCATTCGGGCGTATTTCATACCCGACAGTAAATGTAACACAAGAAATAGTTTCAATACTTAATGCGATAAGCTCAAATATTTTGACAAGATAAGAAGCTTGATTAATTACTAAACGTTGTCGGGGTACTTCAAATTTTGTTCAAGAAATAATGAGTGACAAAATATCATTAATATCGAAATAGTGTTTTTCAGCTGCAAAGCTTGCGTTCAGTTCACATTGAAAAAACATCAACTGAAAAGGTAACGTCAAATTACCATGTAAATATGTATGAAGAAACTAGAAAATCAATGAAAAATAGCTAAATACAGTTGAATCGATTCAAGACATAAACATAAGCGTAGTCGTAGATATAAGGTACAGACTCGTTAAATTGGTGTAGCTTCTCTAACAATTACGTAAAAGTTTATGCCGGGTAACAGGCATAGTGGACACATACATGTTTCTATATATATACATATATAGTGAGATGTAACCGCCGTGGTGTCCCTTTCGTGGTGCACGTAATTGCGCGCGAGGCAAGCAAACACAAAACGCTGGCGTCTCGCGAGCGTAGCTGATTAAGTACTTTGAGAGAGGACCATCCCGCTCTCGGCCGGATTGTGCAATCTCACCATTGTATTCCGAGATCTCCCGCTCGACAGATTGCTGAGATTATCGATGTTTTGCGAGCCAGCTATTATGGCGTCCATCGCCAGATATATCCGATCCTTTTTTTCTTTTTTTTTTCTTTTTCTCTTTGTCCGTTGTTACGCGCGCGGAGAATGCAAACGAGCCAATAAAGCAAATGAAAAGGTATTGAGATTTTAACCGGTGCTTCTAGTGGATTGCGTGGAAAATGCACCGTTCACGATATTGTCGGGTGATTTGCAGTGCTGCTGGTGCTGTAGCTTATTAGAAGAGTTTTTCAATATTACGATCTATCATTTCGCCAATCTTTTGCACTCTCCGTCTGTTCACCGAAACAATTTGGAATTCAAATGCATTTTTTCTGTTCGTTTTGTACGACATCATATTCGAAATTCACCAGGCTGCAATAAGTAAAATATCCCGAAGAGCTTTCGTATGATAAAATAAACCCTTTATTTTTTTTATTTTGCCATTAGCGCACATTAGCCCCGTCCTCAACGTTCGCCATCAGGATTACTGAAATTCAGCGAGTTTTTTGGCTTATCGGAACGAAAAATCAGCTTTACGGCTCGCATGTAAATTATCCACATAACTATGAAGTGGCCAACCGACGAGAAAATCGATAAACGCTCGCGTGAAAAATCGGTGAAATCCGTATTTATCACTGCATCATTTTTGCGCACAAGTTCGTCCGAGGTGCCGAGGTGCCGAGGAGAAGTTAGGAATTCAGAGCGCGTTCCGCGGCAAGTAATTAGGTCAACGCGTGGAGTACGCCTTGTTCCCAAGCAGCGCATTAATATAAAATCATATTCTCGGCGACTTTGGCCAGAACTGCGATGTCAGTGGTAATTCGACGGGTCACGTACTCAGGGCGAAGGGCGAAGCGGATTAGCGTCAAGTCGATTGGCGTTAACGCAGTCAGCTAATCGGCGACGCGGCAGAATTACGCATAATATGCGAGCCCACTGTAACTTTTGGCCGCGATGTCGCGCGCACAGCTCTTTCGGGCTATAAATTTTATGCGTGCACTCGAGAGAGGTGTGATTGCATTACCAATGCAAACGACTGTGAGTCGCGCCCGCAGCGGAGGCTACAAGGGGATTCTCATAAAATTGATTTAATGCGTGCTTAACAAACACTAAAATGAATAATACGCCGGACGTTTGCTGCGCGATCGTAAAGCGGACACACCGATGTTTTTACATTTGTAGTTGCGCTACACTCCGCGCCGCCAATCGCGATCTATTGATTTCACACCTTGTCGTCGGCAATCGGAAATGAGTAAATTTCCCCAGTGTCATTCCATTTCGTAGTGTACATCAATTTTTTTCAAGAGGGAATACACCTATCAAATATCAAGAAATAAACTGCTGAATAAGGGTTTAGTGCAGATCAATCATTGATAATTAATGAGTGTACGATGCATATTCGATATATAATTTACACCGCTCCAAATAAAATCGATAATAGTAATAGGTGTTATCTTAATAATTTACGTATAATTTATTCGATTTTCCAAGAACCGAGCATTTGTCCGATCGAACGATAATATCCGTATAATTTTATTCGGGTAAGATAAACCATTTCTATTGCAATGAATTTAATTGGAAAAACTTGCTTCTTAGGGATATCGGAGGTGACAGCAATGATCAACACCAAATATGCAGAGCCAAGTGAAGATCATCCGGACGTGCAGCTGATCTTCGGTGGTTACCTGGCTGACTGTTCGGAAACGGGCATGGTCGGCGAAAAGAAAGGCAAAAACCGCGTGATACTCATAATCCCGACGATTCTACATCCCAAGAGTCGTGGATATCTACGTCTTAGAAGCAACGACCCCTTGGCTAAGCCCATGATTTATGCCAAATACCTGACGCACCCCGATGACGTTGGCGCCCTCATCGAGGGTATCAAATTCAGCATCGCCCTCACCGAGACTCAAGCACTAAAGAAGTAAGTAGCATACGTCGTTTATCTTATTATTTATTGCCAAGAGATTTTTTTTCTCTGTGACATGCTAACACGAGCAGAGCTTCTATTGATGCAAAGGGGAAAAAGGCCGATAAATGTAGATTTAATATCTCTCTGGCATATTGATTCTGCTTTGATAGGCTGTTGAGAATATAATTTTATCGCTCATCGATTTTTATTTATTGGTATTTCTGCAATCTGAGCAAATGAATTCGAGAATAAAATAGCAAATCTACTTATCTTATCGGCTTTTGGCGGAATTAAAAAAGTAGCAACAACGGTTACACGCAATTCTATAAATGAAATGAATGGGCCGTGACAAAGTTGTATTGTCATCGCATAAATGCATCGTATAACTTAATTTACAACCAGTAAATAAATGCCTTTGGTGCATTCAAAACGCTTGCGCGTAATTGATTTTCTATTTATGTTCAGGTCGAGTGCCATTCCTCTATAAATTCGCATGTGCGTTGTGCGCAGACATGAAATACTTCATAAACTGTAGATGCTATCACGAATCCAAATAACATGGCGAACTCTGTGAAATGCTTTCAGCTGTTCATTCGACTGTTAGCGAGCTTCACTTTATGAATTCTTTGAATTACTTATACTCGAGAAATTATACTTCATTATTGCGAAATTCAGTCGTTCGAAATTTCAATTGCAGTACTGTTCGCAAATTAAAAGAGATATTTTTGTATGACTTCAAATATCATTTAGCGTTAAGATATACCAGTTCTACATAGAATGAAATATGTAATGATGAGAATCAACCCTCGATAAAAATACAACTATATAATTTTTATGACGGTTTGCTGGGTCAGTTCCATCTCGTACTCTGCAAATAATTTGAAGTCTGAAAAATGTACATATCCCATTGAATCTGTTATTAAAATGTATGACTGGATCATCTGAAGTGACTGGAAATCAAACCGACGGCGGAACGTCATTAGAATGATATAAATGCTTTATCGAGGGTTGGCTCTCGTCATTACATGTTTCCTATTGAAAACCTATGAGAGTGAAGAACTACTCTTCTTTCTCGATAATATATTTTTTCAGTGTTTGTAAAGCCATCTGAATAGAGTAGATGGATCGATCTCGGAAAGCAAATTTCTTTGTTTCCACCTTCAGATCACTTTTTGAACATCGAAAAAATCTAAAATCTAACTAAACTAATCAACTTCAAATATTTAAATTCGACTAAATATTATGTATGAGGGTATATCTATTAATAACGTCAAGTAATTAATTGAAATACGTATTTTTCTTAGGTACGGTTTCCAACTGGATCGTACGGCAGTGAAGAATTGCGAGCACCTGAAATTCGGCTGCGACGCCTACTGGGAATGCGCAATTAAACACGACACAGCGCCGGAGAATCATCAGGCAGGCTCGTGTAAAATGGGCCCAGCCGAAGATCTCTTCGCTGTGGTTGATCACCAACTTCGAGTTCGTGGAATCAAAGGCGTCAGAGTGGCCGATACGAGTATCATGCCACGGGTTACATCTGGCAATACAAATGCACCGGCAATCATGATTGGCGAACGAGCTGCTGATTTCATTAAAAGAGCTTGGTTAGGTTGATTTCATTGAAAGATGAAAATATTTGTCGTATGAATTCGTACCTCGCTTGCTGTGGGAAATACACATCTTCCTCATTTGTAGGGATGTTTCATTGCTTTTATTTGATTTTCCACGAACGGGGCATTCAGACGAAATATAGAATTGCTCTTTATTGGATCGAAAAATTGCGCGTCAATCAAGAACAGCACAGAATTATGTTTGCAAAGGCAATTTGCGAAAACAATATTACGCTTTCGATTGATAAATGGAAAACTGAACGAATTTATTATTTCATGTAGTGTGAAGATATTGATTTTTCTCAATACGTATTTTGCCTGAAATTACGTTCACTGTAAATCAAGATGTTATAATATAAACTTCATCATGGTTACCTTAAACGAATAAATGTAATGACAATTCAGGATAAGCCGAATTACAATATTTTTATAATTAATTGTGTATTCTGCATTCTTTAGATAACAGTGCCTTCACAAATCCACAATAGACAGTAGCTCAAATATTTTTGTAAATTTTAAAAGCTTTAGAAATTATCTATCTGATATAGTTTGTGTATATCCTATTATGTATAATTTTTTCTAATAATTTTACTACTATTCTATGGAATGTTTTGATTATTATGAAAGTAATTTAATTCTAAGTTAATAAATATTTGAATAGATTAAATGTACTATATAAATATTAACACGTCTTGTAAGTAAATCAATGTACAAGGAAATAACAGAATAATTAACTGTGAAGCTTTAAAATAAAGGATTGGTAGATATATGTACCATCAGTACAAAATTATCGGTACAAAAATAGTTACGGAATGTCATTTGCTGTTAAATAAATTATTACCAACCGTGGAATTTACACTTGCAGAGGAATTGTACAATTTCTCTATGAAAATAAAATTTATAACTTAGATGATGTATTTATATTTATTATTAATTATTAATAACAGATATCGTCTAACAGTATTTGTTAAGATTTCAAAACTACATCAAATTAACAAAAAATTGTTTTGCATAAAAGGTGGTAACCAGGAGGAACCCGAAATCTTCATCTACTGCATCCACGGTTCTCAACTGCAAACCTTTATAATCATATATATTTTATATCTTCAGTATTATATAAGCAAATATGATAGTCAGATCATTCACGTGATTACATAAATTATGCAAAATCATTATTAAATAAACAAACATAGCTAATTAATCAGCAATCCGAAAGGATTACACGCAGTCAACAATTAACAGTTGTTTTAATCAGATAGTTTTCCACTGTGGCAAAATGTCAGTATCAAGAATGCAGCCGAGAGAAATTGTTATAAGGTTACTAAATGTGAAATTCTTTTTGGTTTTTTGGTTTTAATAAAGCTCTGAAAAGGTTGGTATACCAATTACCAAGTCGCTAATTTAACCCTCGTTTTTTTGTCTTTATATTCGTGATCAAGTACAACACGATTACACACTAAATAATGGAAGGCAAAAACGAAAATTGCACCACATTAATCTTGTGGATTTGGTATTTTAGCTAATAATACAATCAACCTCGTATTGCTACTTTCATTTGTTTTCATTCTTTTTCATACGCAAATTCTTTTTTTAGACGCAAAACAAACTTTGAAAATAAATACACTTGTTTTAAAAAGTGAAACTTTATTCATATTTATTGTATAATATTGAACCACAAATATATAAAATGAGATTCTTAAGAGCTTCACTAGTTATCATTCATAAGTAAGATTGCGTTGTATAAGAGAATAATTACTTTTACAGGTGAAAACATTGGATGATTACGCAGTTATATTACTCAATTATGCATGAAAACAGTTTACACATTAATCTCTTAAATATACGTTAACATATATTTAATTCATTTGTTATTCTTTGGTTTCTTAATTTGCTTTTCAGTTCAATGGCTTAATGGCGTTGGATGAATCACTTGTGTGCGAGCCTCTTCAGAATGACATTTGCTCAAAAGAAAAAGCTACTGCTACGTCGCCGTTTTGCGCACTTATACATCCTTCGGATCTTTTGAATATCCTTCGTGCTCAAACCATCTCTTTGCCCGATTCGTGCGTTTCTATTTCCCTGGAAGATTTCGGCAATGAAATCCAAAATATTTCTAGGCTCCTAGCCAAGAAAAAGGATTCATTTGATCAATCAAAATAGATCCACACGTATTTTTATGTGAATGGTATTTGTATGAATAAAGTATACTTGAATAAAATGCTCTCAGCAGTAATTTACAGATGCACATTGATGTTAGTCAGGATTATTCGTAGGTATTGTACATTTGTTATTTTGCAACATTCTATATTAATATTTTATATATTTAGTATCCTTTTTCTTGGCGCATATTAACACAATATTATGTTAAGTTTGCAATGTTAAAAATGTATGTTAAAATATTAAATACAAAAAATAACTTAGCAATTTCTCACAGTATTCGTTGTTCTTAGCTTTAACCAAATAAAATTAAATTAAATTAAATTAAATTCATAATTATTGATTAATAATTATGAAATGGCAATTATTTGTTCACTAAATTTCTCAATACATTTTTTTAAATTATCAGAATTAATGAAGCTGAGATAAATTCAGATATTTAAAAAAATAATACATACTTGAAGCATAATATGAAATCTATTCTGACGAAAATTTTTAGTAAGCTATTGAATCTTTCGTTGAATTGCATGGAACCTTGTAATAAATTGAATAAAAAATGTTGCCACTCCATTTAATTTCAACATTCATTATAGTTAATCTCGTCTCTAATAAAGTGCGATACAAGTAGAAATTAGCTTCGCAGTAAATCATAAACACGATGACTGAAGCAATTTTAGCAGCACGCTTGGGTAAGGTAATCGGCAATAACTAGCAAAGCGAATAAATTTACCTCAGCCTAAAGCAAAGAATGACGATAATAGAATAAAAGAGACGAGCAAGTAACCACTAGGGAGCGATCTTACATCTGTTCCCTTGGGCTCCTTATAACCGAGGCGTTTTGGTATACTTACTCTTGGGACGATCGTTGGCTGGCCATTGCGAGAAAAAGCGTTAGCCGAGTAGTGCATTACACTTCCGTAGTCGTAACCCACGCCCAAAGCATCGGTCGTGCTACGTTGTGACTTTTCGAAATTGGTTTCACGACCTGTAATAAGTTATTTGCTTTATATTTCTTTTTAGCGCAGTTGAAAACAGAGCTGCAAATAAATTCTTTTTGTTATAATGCTTGTGTGCTTTTATCATCGTCGGTGTTGCTTTCTTCGGGATCGATTGTTTAAGTTTCGCATAAATTATTAAGTCGATCGTCTTGTAGAGCTTGCGAATGGTCGTTCAAATTTAAGTTTCGTTCCGATTACACGAACGAGTTCGCAGTCGTTAAACACTGCAAAACTTTTTGACTGCTCTGCCGGTTAATTTCATTTGCTTTGATAGTCCGTTAATAAAAAAAGTTTGGCGATAAAGTGCAGACTCGTGATTGAATACAGTGGCCACTTTATTTTCCCGGCAATTCTTTTATTGTTGTTGAGCGCGCCCCGTATACCGAGCTATTAATTGTTCTCGACTTTGACTGATAGAGAACCAGAAGTGTTACTATTTACCTCAAGCTTTCTAAGCTCTAAGCTATTGTAAAGCTATCTTGACTGTAAATTTGAGTCGTTTTATTTTAGTTAGAAAAATAAAATTAATGAGAATCCAAATCTACTTTTTTAAGTGGCTAATTGAATTCCATTATTATTAATAAAACTCGACCGCCAAAAAGTATGAATGACATATAAAATCAGTCACCTCTTTGAATATTATGCCACTGAATACTGACATAATTATCCCTTTCATAGCGACTCTGTTCATGAAGGAAGCCCACGGCGTGCATGAGTTCGTGGATGATGGTGCCTTTCTTAGTGACACATCCGGGCACTTGGAGATTAACGTCTTGGCGACCACCAACTCTACCCACAGCGCTCCAACAACCAGTGTTACCGGCTGTTATACGTATATAATCACTTTCCTCGCCCTTGTATTCCTTGAAACGGATGCAGGTGTATTTGTGGTAGTCATCCATCGCTTCGAAAATCACTCTTCGTTGCTTTTGGTCTGTTAATAATGCAATTAATTTGGATTTATTGGAATGCTCGAATAGTAAATGTAGTAATGATACAAACACCGTTTGAAGGAAAAGTACTTTGATATAGAACTTAAAATTCGTGAAACTACTTTTTGTCATAATCAGTATAACTAGTAATTACAGTTAAATAGAGTGTCTTAATCTGTCACATTATCGTCTAATAGCTACGTGCAGTAACATCTCTAATATAATATTAACATAACATTTGACCTGATTGACCAAAAGAACGAACTATTTCAACATAATATTTGCTTTTCTTTGCGAAAGCACTGACCCAAATATGAAAAAAAGGCAAATCATAAATATTATCTGTATATTTAAGCAAAGGCTGAAAACATTTTGTAACTATGTCAATGAAGTGATATTTTTGGGTTTTTTCTCTTGAATTACCTAGTGAGTAGATGTGCGTGCAATGCGGTAGGCGTATGTCAATAATTTTGATCGGATTCAGTTAGCGCGTTTGCTTACCTTCTGTCTCATAAGATTCCATGCTGATTTAAATTTATTCGGTGACTATGTTACTAATTTCGATAGAATTAAGTTATAGCGACAACTAAATTTTCATTATCCAAAATCAAATACACTAATTAATAATTGACCTTCCAATTTTTCCAGAACACGTAACGAGGTATTATTCCATAAATTATTAAATTGTTATTGTTATGTTTGCAAAATAGATAAATTTTATAAATGAACAAAAAAATTAAAGTATCAACTTAGTTACAATTTTGCTGAATAAAAAAATTATCGTTTTAATCAATTCTATACGTCTTGTGATAAACTTAAACGATCATACTTTTTTAAGTGTTTATTTTTCAAAGTCTTCACTTATCTGTATTAATTTATACTCTATTTGTAATAAACGAAAACTACAAAGAATCGGAATAAAAAAAAATTTTTTATTTGAACTCATTAATTTTGTAAAGCATTATTTCCAAAATTCGTCTATTTTTTTTTTGTTTTGAAAGATGTGTACCGTAATAGAATAATTCAAAAGTATTGGTTTTTTAATAGAGAATAAATTAATTCGAATCAAATTTACTAAATAAAAAACGATTTTTCAATTTAAGTGCATTTTTAAAAGTAACGATTCCACAAGCGTAAACAGTAACGTAACTTCTGAATAGTGCCACTGGCTTATCGCCATTACACTGTTATTAAGAATATACAAATATAAGGTAACTAAAAATCTTTTTCAAGTTTAATTTTCATTGTAGTGGGAATCCTTATAATGTTACTATACTTCAGCATTGGAATAGTCACCGCGAGTCGAAACTTGTCCAACACTACATTTTGTAATATAATCTAATGCCAAAAACAAATTCACAACTTACTGAAAAAAGGGCTCATGATGTAAGGTATAACGCCATCAGGCCACCTTGCAGTTTCGGCCTTGACTCCATTTCTTCCCACAATAGCAGTGGGAAACAAAATGTCACCCTCGACGTATTCTCCTAGTTCCTCGGGATTGACATTCATACCTTCGTGCCATTCGGCGACTTTAAGACCAGTTTCATTGTTGGGTTCTCCATAAAGTTGACCAGCAAGATGAGCTAAATGACCAATTATACTGTCGGTAGTATCAACCGTGTTGTCATGCACATCTCGACTCTGGCGGAACGGGTCGAATTGTTGGAAATTTTGATAGTATGGCCAAGCCTGTGCCGAAACTACCAGAAGTAGAAGGATGCTTACAGTTGTTGCGCTCGAATGTCCCATTATATTCTGAAGAAGATGCTGCGTTTATTAGAGAATGTAATATTAGATGTGCGGTAAAGCTTTATCGAGCAAACTTCGTTGAAACATTTGTTTAAATTGCAACTTATCAAAATAAATATATCTAATAGTGAAGCTACTAATATTGCTGATAAATCTTAAAAATATAATATTTATTAAAAACGAAACGAAACACAAATTTCACTAAACTTAGATTTACAGAAAAAAATTCACTATTTCATAGATATTGTAAAAATAGAGTAAATAATAATAAGCTTGTGTAGTCAGACCTAATAACCTTAGCTTTTCCCCGTTATTTGAATAATTATGCTTCATCAAACAGCTTTTAAAAATGATCGAATAAATAATTTGAGTATAAAATAAACTAGGTTTTACCTAAGCTATAATGGACACCTTAAAAAATTAAACGAAAATTATTAAAGTAATTTAGATTTTAGGAGCTTGAATGACACGTGAATTCTGAGCACCGTCTAACTGATGAAGTTTCATTGACCGTTGGCGACTTTATACTCGTAAGAGAAGGCCCCACCTCGCGGGGGCCGATAGCTGCCTAACACTTATACGGAAGTATCGGGGCCAGTACAGATAATCGAGCCCGCCAAGTCGCTCTACGCAACGGAAACAACTAGCTCTGCAAAATTCATCACTGTCTTGGCGACCAATGTCAGATGATCCACGAAACTTGTTATTCCAATGATTCACTTTCGCTTTTGCATTTGCATGTGTCGTTGTTTTTATACATTATGTCGAGCAATTTAGGGATCATAGCATAATAATGTGAATAAGGAACGTTTTGATTATGGAAACTTTGAAAATTAATAATGGTAAATTTATTCAATTAATTAATCATTTTTTCAGTGAGTTAATGATTAATTTTTCGAGCGGCCATAACCCAGTTTGCTATATAATAAATGAAGTATCTTATCGATGTATATACGTAAATGCAAAAAAGATACGAAACAAATGAATGCCAAAAATAAAAAAAATATTTATTTACCTTTCCGACTACTTCTTAATGAAATGTTGTTTGCCAACATATTATTGCAAAATGATATACGCTTATTTTGAACTCGCTCCAGCGGACTGAAGTCTCTAGTTTTGAAAAATACACAATTTATATCCAAAATGAAATGTGTTGCATTATCTAGAGTAGCGTGGGATAACTACATTCTGCTGAAATTACGCAATTTCAAGTGCTCGATGTAAATAGTATGAGCAGACTTTTGGAACCAAATGAAAGGGAATATTTGGCGTTGCAAAATTGCGCTATTACTTTGCGAGAATTGCTATTAGAATCCATTACTCAGTTGTGAAAAATAAAAAAAGCATTGAACGCGTCCAAATTGCATTTTGTTATAAAAAAGGGCTTTTATTCCTAATAATTATAACTTTCGCTGTCATTGCTTGTTTGTGTTACTTTTTTATCGGTCTATATCCAGTAGTGTTCTTCCCTAATCCTCTTAAATTTTCCTCTACTTTCTATAGATAAAGGCCAACCGCGCTAATCCTTTCCAGAAAGGTAACGAAAGGAAACAAAAAAGGAAGCCCCACGTAAAACGCCGGTATTAATTGCCCTCGCGGCAGTCGTAGTAGGTGTACAGTAATGCCGAAACGCAGACGTGAGAAATAGCATGCGATTACTCGTAGGCGAAAACGGCGATATGTATGTACATCCGAAGCGCGCTGAATATTTATACGCCGACTAATCTGTAGGATTCGCTTGCCCGAGCGCTTGACATTTTGCTCTGTTCGTTGAACTTGGAGCGCTCGCTTAGAGGATACCTACGATATACACGTAATGTTGCATAATTTATGCGCGCAGCTGTATAGAATGAGTATAACACTGATTTTCAAGGTGTAGCGACAAGAGATTAGCCGTAGTGTTTGATGTCCTTCGATCTTGAGTCAACAGCCTTTTTTTGTTTGTAAAACATCTAAAGATCTTCTTATGATTTTCTTATGATTATATGAAAAATGAGTAACCTTCACCTATACAAACAATACAATATTTTACGAGATTATTCTTTTTATTCTATTATTTTTGACTTAGGAAATATAAGATTTTTTTTCGATAAATATGTGCTCGAATTTCGAGTCATGATTAAGCAAACGCATACGTAAATTCTTTTTATGAAGTCATTTATTTTTCAAATAAAATCGTACGACATTTTTAATTCAGTATTTTACTCATGAAAATAAACATAAAATGTTCTACTTATTTTTTCTTACTATTTAATGGTAATACTTATTATTATCATACGTACACAACACTTGCACGTAAAATATGTTATAATCTGCGTCAATATGCTTCAATAAATAAGTGTGTTAGAAAAAGCGAAAAAAAGCATCAGTTAGACAACTAGAAAATAATGTATCTTGGAGACCCTAATCCATTAGTTTGCTAGTCTGCGATAAGTTCCGAAAACATATGACGTCAAGTCGGGGGTCTCAAGCTGAGGAATATAATTATATCGAGTGCCGAATACAATTAGAAGCCTTTAAGCAATCTCCAGAATAATCTTTTAAGAACTTAAAAGTTACCAAAAACTAAAGTTTATGAATACTTGAATAAACAAAAGTCAAATAAATATATCAGGAAATTATGAAGTTTTCTTGCATTGTTTGTTATATATAAATACCAAACAATAACAGAGAAATAATAGAAAAAACTTGAAAGTCTCCGTTGTATAAAAAAAAAGGAAAATACAATAGTAGATTAAGTACTATATAATAGACTACGTACTCGCGGCTTTGCTTCAGGTGTCAATATACACACTCTATGGATTTGCCAATACTTTCGCGGCCTTGAGTTTTAATCTATTATTAATCGGTTAACTTTTAATCTTGAAGTTATAAAGTATTGATTTATAGTAGAAGAATTTACAAATGATAATAAATGTATGTGTTATATGAATATTTCGATCTTACATTTTCCACTTAAGGACATAATCATTATTTATTAGGTTATTACAAAAAAATAAACAAATATGTGACAGACAATATAATTAGTATTTCCACTCAATAATCAATACTTAAAAATAAAAAATAAATCAATAATAAAAATTAAATTAAAATTTATAGTTCAATTAATAATTAACGTTGCATATTTTGAATAGTATACATGTGTAAGGTAATATGAATAATATAATTGACAAAATTATTACAAATAAAAGTAATGATTGTATCAAGTATATATATATTTGTGTAATACGGAGCACGCGTATTATTTATTATTATTATTATTGTTAAAACCGCGTGGTCTGTTGATTCTTGAGAGTTCTGAAAAATTATAGAAAAACTTCGCATGATTGGTAAAGATAGTAAAACTTATTAATAATTCTGTGCAATTAAGATTTCGATTAATAAAAAAATTCCATAAGTTGAACACTCCCAGATCAATAGAAATTGAATGTGTAGCATTTTTATTGGGGTTTATAGAAATAAATATATTGAATCGTTAGCTAAAATTACGCGCAATTTTTTTATTCAATCAAAATATCATTATAATCATAAAATATAAAGAAATAAGTATCTAATATATAACGTGTAGACTCTGAAAATGGCTGTACCCATTAGCATATGGGTTATTTTTCAAATATACAAATGTAAAAAAGTATATATAGATCCATGTTACCGACTGATGTTTCAGGTGGGTGTATCGCTAGTGAGAAATAATATTTATATTCTTTAACGGATGGTTATAATATTTTGACCGAATAGAAAACTTGCGTGTAATATTTGTTAACGATTCAACACATTCACTTCTATAAAAACCGTATTAAAATGCTACGTAGATTCAATTTCTATTATTCTGGGAGTGTTTAACTTTTAGAATTTTTTAATTTAGAAAAATTAAATTGTGCGGAATTTTTAGTAAATTTCGCTGTCTTTGCCAATTATGCGTAGTTTTTCTATAATTTTTCCGGATCGATTTTCGTCGATTTCTTACTGAGTTTCTTCATCCGGAACTCTGCACGCTGCGAGTCTGCGCGTGAAGTGCAAGTTCAACTGACAGCACTGGACTGGACGCTGATAAAGAGTATATGACCGGCGTAATGTAGATATTTATCATTTCTTCGACGGAATCAAGATATGTTTCTTGAAATATTAGGTTTATTCAAGTAATTCCTTCAATATATATTAAAAGTAAAAATTAAATTATTATAATTATAATTAATAATAAATTAAAAGTAAAAATTACAAAAAATAAGCGACTTTTATTCTATTTGCATTAAAGAGCAACCAACGCGGCGCGTCTCGGATCTAACCTCAAACTGCTCTGTAAACAGTAGACTGCTTTTATTAAAGTTTAAGGATAACGTGAAATCAAGATTATATTTGTGGAGAAAATTTTCGGCTTTAAAGATATTTAAAATGAGTGACACTTGGTTTGAAATCACGCAAGTCATCAAGGAAAATCGCCACGAGTTGGTTCTCTCGGGTCCAGATGTATCCGAAAAAATATTACAAAATGGCCTTGATCCAGCACTTTTTAAGTTAGATGGAATCAACTATTTGAATATCAATCATACATGTCTTGAAGATGTTCCGGATCAAATAGGAGATTTACAAAATTTAACTAATCTTGTACTTCACTCAAATGCAATAAGAAAGCTACCGAAAACTATTGATAAATTCAACAAATTAAAAGTTCTTGATTGTTCAAGAAATAAATTGGATGAATCCCCAGATGGGTTGGAAAATTTGCCACAGCTGATGAGTTTGAATCTTGGCTCGAATCTGCTGAGCCATGTGCCATCACAAGTTTCTAATACTAAGCTATGTACCATAGACTTATCTCACAATAGATTTGAAATTTTTCCAGATGTTTGTTATTCTGAACTTATACATCTTGCTGAAATTAAAGTTAATGATAACTTAATTAAAGAGATTCCTGCCAATATTAGCCTTCTACCATCTCTCAAACTACTGGATATTGGTAATAATCAAATTTCAGGTAATATCTGCAGTCTTATCTCCGTACTTAATAATTAACTTGATAAATAAATTATTAATGATCTTAATAATTTGTATAAATCCAGTTGTTCCTGGAGAAATTGCAGATTGCATTAAATTAAAAGATCTTAACTTGAAAGGAAATAAACTCTCAGACAAAAGGTTGTATAAACTTGTAGATCAATGCAGAACAAAACAAGTTTTAGATTACATTCGTCAACATTGTCCAAAAATTGGAAGTTCATCAGTTAATTCTAACACTAAGTCAAAAAAAGGCAAGAAAAATAGGAAATCTTTTGAAAGTGACAATGTTAATGCTGAAATTGAGCAGAGTGCCCACAAACTATACATTTTAAAGGTTTCTGACAGCATTCCTGTAGTAAAGATATCAGAGGATGTAAAGAAAGTTAGACCCCATATTCTTGCTTGCATTGTTAAGAATTTAAAATTCACTGAAGATTCTTTCAAAAAATTTATTCAACTCCAAACAAGACTTCATGAAGGGATTTGTGATAAAAGAAATGCTGCAACACTAGCCACTCATGATTTTGATCTGTTTACCGTTGGTAAATAAAGCTAAAACAGATTTTGTTTTCCATAAAAGTGTAAATAACATATGTTTTTATTTATATAGGTGATTTGACATATACTGCCAAGCCTCCAAATGATATTGAAATCAAGCCACTTATACGCAATAAAATATTCACTGGTGCTGAACTATTCCAACAATTGCAAACAGAAGCTGATAATTTGCGCAAAGAGAAAAAACGTAACGTTTATTCTGGAATTCATAAATATTTGTATCTTTTAGAAGGCAAGCCACTCTATCCCTGTTTGTTAGATGCTAAGGATCAAGTCATATCTTTTCCACCGATCACAAACAGTGATATCACAAAAATGTCAACTAATACAAAAACAATGTTTGTTGAAGTAACAAGTGCTCTTAATCAACAAACGTGCAAGTAAGTGTATCAAATAATTTCAGGCATGATTACTTAAAATCAGATTCACTGCTTCTAATTTTTATTTTCTTATAGGAAAGTTTTGGACGAATTTTTAAAGGAATTAATCATACAAGGTTTGGGCTGTGAAGCTCCAGATGAAAGAAATAAGTTTCACGAATTACTTGTTGAACAAGTAAAAATTGTTGATCTTGAGGGTAACATGAAATCTGTTTACCCTTCAAGAACCGACCTAGTTTATGATGATGATAATATTATTGTCGTAAGAGAATAATTTTGCAGTATAATGTAATTATTAATGCATATAAACTTGTAAAAAAATAGTCTTACGTGTGTACTTTGTTTGCTCAATGTTACATAAAACTTTTGTAATAACTTTTAAATTTATTTCTATAATCAATTTGATTTACCTGTTACGGGACGATCTTTTTATAAAAAAAGTGTTTATAGATAAGATTTTGTTTAGCGTTGCGCAGAACAAAATCTTATCGTAAAGCTGTAGATTGATGCATTATATCTTTTATGCTTCAATCGTTTGCTTGAATGGAAATCATATATGTATGTAGAACAAAGCTAATTTTATAATTAAAGTAGTATTTTTCACAAGGCCACGATATTTGACACTTGATAATCCAAAATTAGTTTTGTTATTATAAAAAGATTGTTTAAAATTAATTGGAAACTACTATGAGTTTAGAATGATTTATCAAAAAAGCTTTATTTGTTCTTATACTTAAAGTTTAAGTTCAAATATTACACAAATGATTTATTTATTTTCATAATAAAAAAACATTCGAACTTAAACTACGTTGTCTAATTATTTAAATAAATGTTACAAAGGACATTTTTAATTATTTTCGAAAAAATGGCGAATTTTTGAAAATTATTTCAATTTGTTCATTACCTATTGTGTATCAATATTAGTACTCGTTCCTACATTTAACAAAAAAATATTTTCAGATTCGCGAAATATTTTTATTGTACTTATTTTCATTAGTACACACGTAGCTAGAATAATAAAGATTTATCCTGAATTTTGTTATTGCATATTCAAATTTTATCTCCACCACTCTAGCGGCCGGCACAATATCATCTCACACGAACAACTTGCGCGAATGTTCAAAGCTGTAAAATGGCGCTGAAACGTGACTGGGCAGTGAATGTGCGAATCACACAGGATTATATCAAAATTTGCACTTTGAGGTTAGTTTTTTTTTCTTTTTTTAATACAATATTTACTTATTTTTTAACGATTTATGCTGGTTTATTTTATACTTCTATCAATTCTCGCATTACGATGTTTATTACTAGTAAACAGTCCATAAACCCACAATTGTCATTCTATTTTTCCGTCAAATGAATGAAAGACTGGCAAAATATATTTTGTTTAGTATCGTTTCTGCATATCTCAAAGATATGCGTTATTGATTTATAGTTTTAAAAACTATAAATCAATAAAAAATTTGTCTAGTCTAAACTGTCGACCTGTAAAATTTGGTTAATTATATAAAGGAATATTAGAAAATTTCAACTTAGATTTGAATATCTTCGAGATGTGCTTTATTTATACCGATCGTGTATATTGACACATCCAACAGTTTACGTAATTTGTTTGCAAGAACGGGTTTTAAAAATGCAGCATATTTTTAATTTGCAGAAAATGCGGTATTTTTCTAATAAAATATGATTCATGTAGCTGATTCAATTTTCAAACTTTGAATAGTTAAATTTTTGAAAAATATATTTACTGTATATATTGGTGGACCAAGGTCATGGTAGTGATTTTATTTCTTCGTAGTTATCTGTTTAAACATTTTAATGATTTTGTGTTATTAAACAAATCAATGTATGATAAATAATTTCAAACGCATTATATTTTCAACATATTTATACATATAAGACTTGGATTTATGAAACACATGAAATTTTGCATAGCAACAAAATATAACATTGTTTTACTCTATTTTTAAAAAATGAGTCAATTTTGTCATATCAGGTTGAAAAATAGAAAAAAGTACATATTGATATTAGCATATTCTGTAAAAAATCCACCGTTCAGATAGAGTTATATAAACCTAATGGTTATTTCAAAGAATGTTCAATATTACATTTCTTCACACTACTGACTATAGGGAATTTTCAACTACAAGGAACCAAGGCTAATGATTATAAGTACCTTTCGAATACCTCTGCAGAGTTATAAATAAACTTAATCCTTGAAATAATGATAACACATCAAATCAAATTAAATGCATTTTCTTTAAAGAAGTACTTCAAAAATCTAGATATTCAAATAAATATAAGAAAATGTAATATGTATTTAAATTATTGTTTATAATATTTTCATTGGCTTTGGTTTCTTTTTCTTTTAGAAAAATACAAAATTAATATAGTTAAATTCCACATGATTTCCAATATTGCCTTGTTCATGAAAATATCTTCTTGATAAAATATATATTTGATTTAACTTTTAAATGTACTTCTTGCAAAGTTATCTGACATATTCAACAAAGAATATGTTACTTTTTGTGGTATTAAAATAGATACATCTTCATCATAATTGTTTGAATGTAATTAAAATGCTGTATTAATGGTCCAATATGAAAATGGTATTCCATTTGAAAATATATTTATAGATCTGCTTATACTTTAATAGTTTAATATTTAAAAATAATTAAATGTAATTGAAAGTCTTCCTGATGGAAGTATTTGTTCAATAGCTGCTAATCGAAAATGGTTGTACCTATTGAGATCTATACTTATAACTTTAGTCTATATAATTTTTTTTCCAAATTTATCAATGTCCGGCATTGAGGACTTCATTCCTATTTTCACATAAAATTGACTCTGTGGAAATTATAAAAAATATGGATTGTATACATTTCTCTAAACATTTAACACTTTTTTTGTATCATGGAAACGTATTTTTTAAGTAGACTTTAAGGAAGATTATTATGATCACATTCATCTTGACTAGCAAGTAAGAAATGACATGGGAGGAGCTTTATTTGGCTTTGTGTAGTGCTTCTCTTTCCTTCACATCAATAATACTCAAGTTTATGCATGCCACATAACCATGAAGTATAGAGATCAATGCTTTTACAAAAGCAACTGGTGCTGACAAATAGGCGATAACTTTGAATAAGCTGATTCCGATAACTGTAATTAAACAAAAATAGAATTACTAATTCTTTAAATTTAATTGGCCAGTGGAATAAATTCTTAAAATAATTAAATATATTAAATATTTTAAACATTAAAAATATAGAACTTACACACTGGTCCTTCGGTGAAATGCAAAAGATACAGAGCTGCATAAAATGCTTCATTGCCAGCACACATAAAGAATAGTACTGTACGATTAGTGTAATACACACTCATTATTGGATTTTCAGACATGTCAATAAATTTGTGACTTGTTTTGCCTTGTAAAACAGTTCTAAAAAAGAGAAATTTTTTATAATTCACTGGCTATAAAATAAATTTACAATTTGGAGCTGTGTTTAATTCTATTTAATTTCTACAATAGTTATTGAATAACTCAATTTTTTAAAAAGTTTTTTCCATTACTTACGTATGTAAATAAATCCAATGGCAAACAATATCAATAGCCATACTTATTTGGAACCAAAAAGTATACTCTGGATAGAACTGAGCTAGGCAAACCAAAAGACACATAGTACCAGCTCTGTCAGTCAGCTGATCCAACATAGCACCAAATTTAGTTCCTTGATTAAAGTATCTTGCAGCATGTCCATCGAATGCATCCAAAAGAGCACTGATGACATAGCACCATATTGCCACTACGTAGTGAGTTGGCATGTAGTAAAAGGATATCAGTGCCAAAATAACCCTGCCATAGCCTGAAAATATTATAAGAAAGCATTAGATTTTTCATTGAATAAACATTTTTCAAAGTTACAAATGACATTACTATTGATTATGAGAGCCATTACATAAAACAGTAGTTTAAGAATTCAATCAATAAAAGGAAGTCTTTGAAATTCCTTTACGGTCATGTCTCTGTTAGTTTATTGAAAGGGTATATTTGAACTCAGCCAATTTGCACAGTATACATGAGTTCTTATCAAATAATTGAGATATTTGCTGATAAACAACGCGATAGCTAAACAATCATCTGGAACGTTAATTTGTTATTTAAATGAACGTCAACTTACCAATGATATTTGGCACGAACAAAAAGATGTTCTCAGTCTCCGTCATTTTTGTAGTATCGCTTTGTTTTCCTTTGGGAGCAGAAAGCCTCAACGGTTTATCTGAAAAAACACGCAAAAATGAAGCGTTATACACGCACTGCAAGAGAATCGCTCTCAATATAGACTTTTATCTCTTGCGACGTCGTTATCGCTGTCTCTCGAAATCGCTTATATTTTATATGCGCCGGTTCGCCAAAACGAAAGCCAAAAAAGGGAGGAATCGGCACACTCACGATGGAATAATCGAAGAGGCCCGTCCCGCCTCTCTACGCGTTGTCGCTAACGCAATTGACTTTTACTACTGCGTGTGCGGGTGTTTTGACGGGAAATGTGTGCGCACGCGTGTGCGATCCCTTAGAGAAAAGACGTCACTGGTAACAGAGACATCTCGCGCAGCGATTCTCGAGTTTTGTCGGAAACTTGCGCAGCCTTGGCAGCGATTCAACTTGCTAGCAGAAGATACCGACTGAATTGCTTCAGGAGCGTATAGGTGTGTCACTGTTGCTTTCAATTTTTTTTCGCGGAATTTCGGGAGACACATAAGAACGTCTTAGAATTTGCCTGATTATTCTAGATACAAATTCTTAAATTTAACGAAAATTCAAGTTCAAGGCGTATCTGTTCCATTGAAATTTCAAATAGGAGCATCATACGGCTTTTTATTTTTACAAATGATCATTCCACGAGTTGTATATAAAATACCTTGAAGTTGAAGAAAATTGTCGAATCAAACAGTACTGGGGTGGGTTCGTAACTTAGCAATTTTTGAACTTTCACTTCGCAATGAAAGGTTATCGCGGTTCTACATGAACAGTTATCAACCTTGTAGAAAATAGAAGAAAAGCTTTTCAATCAACGCGACATCATTGAATCTCCACGAAATATTTAGTTTTCTATTGTACTTGATGGCATAGCGAGACACGTACGTCATTGTCATCCGCAAAGTAATAATCATCGATAAAACAAGCGGGGCAAACGAGGAGGAGTCATTTCGCGAGAAATCCTGTCACATTGATAAAAGTCATTGCACGTGTATGTTTATATAATGACGACACCGAACACTACACCGTCAAAAACGCTTATCACCTGGGCATTTTTGAATCGTTATCTTAGCATCCGCAAGCACAAGGAATCTTTTGTTTTGAAGTGCTAATTATAAAAGAATACGGGCTTAAGGAAATATGAAATGTCATCGTTTGGTTCCCCTCGCGGAAGCCCCGAGTTGGCGCGAGTTCGCCCCTTGTTTCGCGATGAAGCCGGATCCCATCGCCGGACGGTACGGAATAACGGAATCTCGCGCGCATTCCCGTACGGCCCTGCAAAGTGCAGACGACGTTGGTCACGACGTGTCTCGATGGTCGTCGCTGTTAGCGCGCGCGGCTGCACCTCTCTACCTACGATTCGTCAGCACCTTCGTCCCGCAGACTGCCTCCTTTTCTCGGCCTCTGCTCTCCGCGCCGCTCTTTGCGAAGGGAGTACACGGACGGCAGAACGCCGGCGCACGCAGTCGCGTGACAGAGCGAGTGCATGCGCGCGCTTTTCCATCGCGCCGAGGAGGCCAGCCAGCGCTGCGAGGCGGCCGATGAAATCGCGTCGCGTGGCATTTGCATGCGCCAAAGGACTTCCGGCTGGTGAGAAAGGACGGAAGAGGAAGCGCGCACAGACGTGCCTGCACATCGTGTCCCGCGGACGACGAGGAGGCACGGCGTTCACTCCGTCGGCTGTTCCGGTCGATGCCGCGATCAAAAAAAGAGGAGACAAAGGAGGTCCCGCTGCCACTGCTGCACTGCGATTGCGACCGATCGATAATACGTCTCTGGATGACGCACGGCCAAAAGCTACCTGCACCTGCTCCCCGCGTCCGCGTCCTGTGCACCCAGTGACGAGAGGGACGAAAAGAGCGCCAAGGATGGCCGCGGATGAGCTGCTGTGATGACGGTTGATCAACCGAAGGGATTCGACCAAGAGTGCGCGCATTGTCGCGAGAAACATGTGACGCGAAGGTGCTGACTTTTGCTTCGGCCGTTTATTTTGGACTCGCAAAAATTGCTGACGAGTGCAATGCTGTGAGTTCGCTCATCCGTTAGGACAAAGGATTTCGAAACCGCAGCTTCGACCCGGAGCAGACAGGCGGACAAAGAGATATTTTGGTATATAGGTACAGATGGTTTGCACGATGCAGTGTATTTTTGAACGAATTGCACACATTTTCCATTGACCGCATTGAGACTGCGACAATTAGTGCACTTGCAGCCTTTCTTTGTGTGCAATTAGCGCGCTTTGAAAACTATCTTGTTGCGGTTTAAAAGGAAACCACGCTGAAGAAAAACAGTGGAAATCCTCGGGAAGAATTTTAAAAAAGGCACGAACAATTCTGACAGTCATTGAACGGAGCCTGGTTACCGACGGTCGCCCCAGCAGAAAAGGAACAATATATAGCACCAACAGCAAGAGAGAGACAGAGAGTGAGAGCTGCGTAGCGCACAAGAGAGACGGAGAGAGCAAGAGAGAAAGAGAGACAGAGAGAGAGAGAGAGAGAGAGAGAGAGAGAGAGAGAGAGAGAGAGAGAGAGAGAGAGAGAGAGAGAGAGAGAGAGAGAGAGAGTAGTGGCTCGTTGAACATAGAGCAAGATAGCAGCAGTCGTCGGTCGGGCCTCTGGTCGGGTTGGGCAGAGAGCTGCCGTGCCGCGTACTCGCAGTCTTTCCTAAGTGTATATGTGTAAATGTGTGCGAAATATCACGAAAAAAAGAAAAAACAATGGTACAGTAAATCGCGCACGCACTTTCTCGTTCTAATTTCTGTGATATAAAGACCCAGACGTATATACGTGCAACGGACACGCACGGGGGCGTTAATCGATTGCTGCGCGTGCGAAGAGTTGTACGAAATTGACAACGGATTATGGGCAGTCCGAGGTATGCATCGTTAGAGCCGCTGCTGCCGCTGCCGCCACCACCGCCACCACCGCCGAGGAGAGCTGGGCAGCAGACGCATCCGGCCATCTTGAATCTGTCCGCCGTCGTGCAGCAGCAGCAGCAGCAGCAGCAACAGCAGCAGCAGCAGCAGCAGCAGCAGCAGCAACCTCAGAGACGACGATGAGGATCCTGTCATCATCGCTCCACTGAGATTCCACCACAAACAGAGGAAGAGATAGGCTATTTTACTGTACGGCACTGCTCTGTGCACTCGCCTACTCTCCTCCTCCGGCCTTCTGGCCGCTCCGTATGCACTAGACTGGAACACGCAACGACTCGTACGTGCGTGCATGCGTGCGTAAACAAAATCGTACGAAAAATCGATCGCGTGCATATACATACGACTGTATATGCATAGAAGATATCGCGTTGGGAACAGAGTGTGTGCGCGCCTGGACGTGATTCAAAAGAGGCAGACGACGCGCGCCACCGACGAAGCGAGAGTGAGGTTAGCGCCGATGACCTTGACTACTCGCTCGTATTCACCGGCGCTCGAAGTCGCACGAGCTCTAACGTCGACATGAGCACAGCCACCACGAAGATGGCACCTGAGCAACAGCAACAGACATCCGCGTCCTCATCGACGACGACGGCACAGAACAAGCCGACATCTACGTACGCGGCTTACGTACCTATACCTGGTACTTCGGCTTCCTTCGCCGAGGGTAGAACGCCTACTGCTCTATTTCTCATGGAGGAACGTCCTGTGGGCGACAAATCCAGTGACACCGCATTGCCGATGCTCAACAATACCAGTGTCATCGACGGCAAGCAGGTGCGATTTGCGAATCTCCTTTTTCTTTCATCTTTATCCAAAAGGAAGTCGATGACATACCTACCTGTGTGCGTCTGTGTGTGCATGCGTGCGTGCGTGTGTGCATGTATGTGTGTGTGCGAAAACGTGCGCGCGAAAAGAGGTTAGAAAGCTACAGCAACAGGAATAAATCTTATGTTGCGGATTTCGTTTGGTGCCTCGCGTGCGAGTTTGCTTTTTCTGCTTTTGTTTTACCGGCGTATCTTACGAACTGTTTTTTGAGATCGAACTGGCAATATTGGCACGCAGTGTTCTGGATAATAAGCTTGTTGCTATATAGTTGGTTTGGTGGTGGTTGTAATGTATTTGCAATGCAGAACACTTGTATTAAAAATCAAATCGATAAGTTCGATCTCGCGACATTGGAGCACGCACGGAGAGACGGACAGAAAAGCAATGAATTTTCACTCGGTAGAGCGAGCGTCATTTATGTAAGGTATATTATTACCCACAATTAAATCAAATGGAATGCCTGTAATTAAGATATCATCGTACGTTACGTAGAGCACATATAAGTACATCTGCTATGATGCCGATTTCAATTAAAAAGCTTCTCTATACTGTTTGTCTAGACTGAAGTTTTGTCGACGTTTACTAATTGAAATCGTCAATCATAGAGTTGATACACTGATTTGAATGCTTTAAGGATGTAAAACTTGAAATTGAATGACTTGATCATTTTAATAAAGAGTTTGGAATTCACTTTGAAACACTTTGATTCACAAACTGCTGCAACTTTTTGGCCTGGCGTCATACCAAATCACTTCATGCTGATTTGTCTGCGAATAATCTAAGCAATTCCGGGAAAATCTCAACGGGGCACACGCCTTAATGAAATTTTATCTTTAGCAAAAGCATAATTCTCTATCTGTCTGTAAATCGGTATACCCGCGTATGCCCACGCGTGTATTGAGGACGTTGTCGTCATCGTCATCGTCATTTTCATCATCATCATCATCATCATCATCACCATCACCATCATCATCATTGTCATTATCATCATCTTCGTCGTCAACGTCATCATCATCAATGTCGTCGTCATCGTTATCGTCATCATCATCGTCGCAGGCGTGAAAGCCATGTAGACGACGAAAAGAGAAGTCGACGACGATTGCATCACTCGCGCGTATAATATACGGTTACGGTTACTTTTTAAAAGCGCTCCAGTCGCGAGTGACTTGCTTTTGGCGACACTGCCCACGTTGACAATTATTTTCTGCTGTAACAACGTTCATGGTTGTTATCACTTTAGTAGTCGCGGTGAACGGTTTCGTCAAAGCGTGTTCACCACACTCTCGCGAGCGAACAGTCGTCTGCGGTAAGGTGTTTTCTTGTGCACTTGGACAGAATAAAAAAAATAATTGCGATTGCGCGTTATTCGAATGTCGGCGCTGTGGCGCTCGTATATTAAAATATTTTGTCTTTTTTTTCGTTTTTGCTTTAGGTGGGTCGCCCGTTAAGTAAATATATCGTTTAAACATATTTGCAAAAAAGAGCGAGTCTTGGCGCACTAACACTAACATTAACGCATTAACAAGATTATAATGGCGAACGGAAAAAAAATAGAACAACAAAGTTGAATAATAATTGCATTAAAGCCATGTTTTATTCTCGAGCGGAAGGACAGGCACAGCGACGACGCCGAGAGATTCGTTTATGGCAGCGGACAACAATTATTTGCAATTCACGATGCGCGCGGCCAGCGGAATAATTCTCACTTTGTAAAAAAAAATGTGTCTCGCGCGACTGGCTATTTATCGTTCGACCACATTACACGGCCCCGTACAACATTCAGACACGCGTGCGAGCGTGCTGGCGAGATTGTCTCGCGGGCATCTTTCAACTTTCCGTTCTGGCGAGCTTTCTTCTCTCCCGCGGGTGATCTGAATGTGACAAGTACATTCATTTTATTTATGCGAGCGCGCCGAGGCGAGGACCATTATTGGGAAGGCGGAAAATTGTATTTTAATCGCGCTGCCATTGACAGCCGATGTTTACGTAAATAGCCCGAGAAAATGGAATATGATCCTTAATATGTCTGACCGATCAGTTTTAAATCGGTAAATCATTGATCGAAAGTTGCGATAAATTCATTGTTGACCGGTTTTGGGCTGAGCTACTCATTTATTTTCAATGTAAAACACAACGTTTCCTTGCTCCGATTATTCATTCAAATCAATCATAAAACCAAACGAGACATAATAGGACCATATAAAGGATGAAGAGAGCTTTTCTATTTATTTCATATTTCATAACATATATAGTACGGGTCTTCAGATTTATTTAGTCGCACTATTGAAAGGGATTATTGTCATTATATGTTGGAAAATTATATACGTTGTCAATACGTTGCGTTAAAATAACCAATATTTTGTTATAACTGTATACATTCACTGTTGCGTATATAGCACTTCGGGAATGTTTCTTACGGTTCGGTCTGACGTATTATTTTTAAGAATGACTTTTCGTAGTGTTAGCTCAAAATTAAAAATAGCTGGTGTAAGGATTTAACAAGTCATCTTTAAGTACGGGTACCAAGGATAACAATTTATGTATGCCAGAGCTTATGAAAATTATTGCATATACGGAGATAGCAATTTATTTTCAGTTATCGAAACAACAAAAGTTAAATCAAATAGTTACTTTTACTTCCGTTAATACAGCGATCCTGAAGATACGTCCTTTTTCATTCAGCGCTCAGAAATTACACGTTAATCGAAAAAAATGCAACTTATCAACCGCATTGTGCAGAAAAAAATTCATTATACATTTTTTCCCCCTTTTTTCTTACATAGCTGAAGATCCTTGACGTTTGTTAACTACTTTGATACTATAATTTTTATAAAATGCTTTTTCAAACGATTCTTTACATCTTACTTTAACAACGAGCTTGAACTCATTACAACAGGTACTCAATTCCGGTAATTCATTCAATATTCATAAAATGAGAGTAATGAAAAAACTTTTAACTGTAACTTGACACCTCACGACTACTTTTGTTTTGCTTTACGTGAGCTCTGTAGGACATCAGGTTAGATTGTTAAATTGTTACATGTAAAATTTGTAGATATCGAATAAATGATTACTCATTTCGCGCTCGGCTCCAAAAATACTCGAAAAATTGTTTTCGACACTTTTGCCACAGATCTCGGCGTAATCAATGGAAGTAGATTAGAAACATGTAGTATCAACTTTGAACTGAATCTCAAAATTCTATCGGCGTTTATACACGAACCCTAAAACATTGCCAGCCCACTGTAAAAGGAAACTGCCACTGACTAGCCAACCAGTTACCTAGAGTACTTCGGAAAGAAATTCAACTGAAAATAATCCGTACAAAGCGTTAAGCTCACGTCCATTGACGAAAAAGAAATCGTACAACGGACAAAGAAAAGCTCTGACTTTCTCGTGAGGATGATGGGGACAGTCGGGTACCTCAACCTATCGCTACGTGTCTGCAATGGCCGTGTGTCTGCACTCCAGTGAGGTAGGCAGGCAGACCAGGCGTATAATGGCGCCCCGACCATGCCGACCGAGTAGAAAAGAGAGAGAGAGAGGGGGAGAGAGAGAGATAGAGAGAGAATTCGCAGTTCGCGAGAAGGAAAGAGTGTGCAGCGCCGCGCCCGTTCGTCGCAATAGTAGTCGCTTGCTGCTGCTGCTGGTGGTGTGTGTGTCTCCTCTCCTCTTCTTTCTCGCAGTAAGTCTAGCTCTATCAGAGATAGTAAAGTAGCAATACACAGCAGCAGCAGCAAACCTCGTCGTAGCCATCGTCGTGGTTGTAGTCGTGAATAGCTCTTACTTATATGTGTGCGTGTATCGCGGTATGAGAACTTAACAGCGCGAGGAGGCGCTCAGCTCTCTCATCTCCTCGAGTTGTGTGTGTACCGCCGCAGTCGTAAGCGGCCGCCGATATCTGGGTGTCCTCTAAAAATATAAATTCCAAGCACCAACTCGTGTCGGCACACTGCCCGGCGCAGCCAGGCGGCGACCCGCCTTGTAACGCACTGCTTTTTTTCACGCCTTTCTCAAGTAAGTCGACTCTCTCTTTCTATAAGTGTGTGCAAGTCTCTCTCTCTTTCTCTCTCTTACACACATGCATACGTATGTGTGCACGACCGACGACGACGGCGGTTTTTTTTTCGCGATAATGTCGCTCGATCGACTACCAAGTGCCATTCGCCGAGTGATTAGAAAAAAAATATGGCTGACTTGAGGTTCGTATCATGCATATGAAATTTTGCGAAACTTTTTTGCCATTCGCCGTCCCTAGTGTGTTTGTGCGTGTATGCCTGTGTCTATGCGTATTGTGTCGGTCTTTCGACTCGCGATATCAATTTGGCCCCAATCGCTTGCATCTGTTTTGTAGCTAGAAACCGAACAGAATTATGCCTAGATATATAGGTTGATTTAACAGTGTGGCAGATGTTTAAAGTACGATACAATGTATATAGATGAGTTTAGAAGGCTACAGCCATACGTGGCAAATCTTTCGAATGGTCAAGATTTGCACTGACCAATTGCACTGCTCTCTCAGAATTGATAAGCGCGCTATCTTTATGCTTTTATTAGTAAAACGAAAGAGAAAAAAAAGAAAGAAGAAAACGTTTCTCTGACGCTAGTGCTGCCAATATATACACATACATATACACCTATGAATCATCAAATATTTAGCCTGTTTAAATTCAGAAATACTGATATAATTTCGATTGAACGACGAGTCCGATGTGTTGCTGTTGTTACTAGGCTGATTCTATTTGCTAATCTTGGATAAATAACTCGTCAATTACATAAACGCGCTTTTATCAGCAACTACTTTCTTCATACACAGACTTTTATTGTGTGATTTATTTTTCTTGAATATTTCGAAACTTAATTAGCATATAATAGATGAGGTTCCTTATCAATTATCATTCTTAATTAAAATACATTTATTACTACATGCAGCCCTAGATATACAATGATATTTAATTAGAATCTTAAAAAAAACTTTAACATAGAATATGTCCTGTAAAAGTTGTTGGGCCTTTTCAAGTAGTTGACATAAATATTATTATTTAGAGAATTTAATCTTTTGTATAGCCCATAAAAGAAAACAATACTTAGGTAGGAGTACTTGAAATTCAGTAAGTGATGATTGAATACTTATGTTATTACCAATTTCATATTTGTAACATTGGTAATAATTAAGAAAAAGAAAATTAATATGGTAATTGTCATGATATTATATTTATCATCTCCAATAAGGCACTGTTAGTAATCAAATGAATAAGCTTATTTTAATATAAAATTTTGTATTTATATGTGTATAAGCACATAATTCTAGAAATTTAGAAAATAATAAAGACATCATTTTCAATATATATTTGTTGGCTAAATTTTGTTCAGCAACATTAATTTTAAGTTTATTCTACCTTTACCAATAGGAAATTGTGTAAGTATAAAGATACTTGATCAAAGAGTGATCAGTTAATACATTTGGTTTCAATTTGGAATATGGAACATTTTTTTAAATTGAATGGTATAGCTCTCATATTTGTAAAAGATTTAACAAAATCTGTTTTTTGCCAGATAAAATTATTGATTTTTTTATTACACTGCTAAATTATATAAAATTATTTGTCATTAAAATTTAATTTAGTACAAATAGATTGAGTTTTATTGGAAGAAAAATAACCTCAGCTCAAATTGATAACTCTGTTCTTTCTTGTCAAAGTTCTGATAACTTGATCAACTTTCATGTTCATTGATAAAGTAAAAAGATCTATTATGGCTAAATTATAAAATTTTATCGTAATATATTTCTCTATAGTTACATAATATAATAAATGGCTTTCCTACTATAGTTTGTTGTTTACTATAAACAATCTTTTGTTTCTTATCTGCCGTAAATTTATCTTTTACTTTTTGTTGGTCTTATCAAGAAAACCTGATTAACACTACCTTATTTTGTATTTTTATCTACTGCTAAACTAATTTTTGTACATTAATATTAAATTAAGAATATTTAAACTAAGAAATGTTATTATATTACAGGAAGAACCTGCAACTCTGTCAACTTTAAACGAAGGAGAGTTGCGAGCTTTGTTGGATGAAGCCATCACATATAAATGTCCAAAGGACCGTGAGGGAAAGTCCAATCTTTTCAAGGTATTGTACTAAATTAATTAAGTAGTAGTGATTTCTTTTGTCAGACAAAGAGTTTTGACTTTCGACCATCTTATCTTATTGTACAAGAACTTTCTTGATTAAGTCAAACATTGAGAGTAAAATGATATAACTGATTGTCTTTTTTTTGTAAAATTAGTTTAACATTTATGATGCATAACTGTTCAAGTTGAAATATGAAACATTGCTTATTCACTGCAACCAAATTTGTTATTATTCAGTTTAATTGAACTGAAAATCTTTCTAACCTGAAAATTGGGTCACAAAAAAAATTAGCTTGTTCATGATTATTAGTACAGTTTTTTCAATAACATTTAGAATTTTCAAATGCCCTATTGAAATTCTCTATAAAAAAATAATGTTTTCTTTCTTTTTTAATTATTTTTTTTAATTGATATTTACTTATTTTTTAGTATAAACTTTTAAGCAAGTTAAAATTTGATCAATTTGATTAATTTTGATTTATCAAAAAGACAAAGGAACTTGTGATTTTCATTAGATATAGATATTTTTCAGCCTTACGTCCTTGAATTCATAACTGTTGTTAAGTGCTTTTAGTTGTTTCATGCACTAGTGACAATTTTAAATATATTTTATTTTCTAATTTCAACATTAACTTTAATTGAATTTAATTTATAAAAAAACCATTAGAATAGCGCAGAGTGATCAATCATATTATACTTTGTTATCAAACGTACAGGCATTACATAACTTGTCTTTACAATCTATTGTTATGTTGTTATTTCTTTGTATTCTTCTTCAAAGAATTTATATGAAATTTTGTTATACAGATGAAATTTTGTTAATGTCATGATTGGAATGAAATTTATTATCTTTAACATCTTTCAGAAAGAATTCATTGTTCTATGATAGTGTTGGTTGAAACCATGTAGTAGACAATTGTTATATTGGAAGTTGTTTGATCTATCATTCAAAATTTTAAATTGTAAATTTGTACAAATCCTTGTCAGGTATTTTGGATTACTAAAAGGCATTGCAAAATATTTGTCTGGCCGAATGATCTAAACAGTCTAAGAAAACTGGCAAGTGTAAAGCGGCGTATACTTTGTAACTTGTTGTGAAGAGATTGCTGTGTACAAATGCGTTGAAAAATAAAGAAAGAAACTGACGAAAGTCAATTCAATGTGGGTTGTTGTGGTGTGCGTGGGGTGAAAATAGGAGCTGCTGCAGGAAGCGGAGGCCGACGAGAGCGAGGAGAGCCATTGGGCGAGCGTGACGAGCAGTGCCGGGCGCTGCCTGCCCCGCGGTTACGGTGGCGGTGGAGCTGGCGCCAGCTCGAGACGGCATAATCATCGTCGCTGCGGGGATTCGGTGTCCGAGCACCTGACCCACGGCGGCAGTCTCCAAAACTTGGCTCACGACGACTTCGACTCGACGACCAATAGCTTGGCTTATCTTGCCTCCTCCGGTCATCCACGACATCGTGGCAATCTCAAAGCCAGCAAGAAGTCGCACTCTAGCGTGTCAGCCAGACAGAGGGAAGGCGGCTCGCTACCATCAAACGTCAACGCCACGCATAATTTCGGCAACTTTGATTTGGTGTACGAAAGGAAGGTACGCTCTATCTGCGACTCGCATTTCTGTTAAATCAGTCTCTCTAGCGCACTTTCTACTCTTTTCATCTCACTGTTCCTCGAACACATGTCGTTGAGTATGAATCCTTGCTCTTGAGACTTGTGGACAGAGTAAGGAAAACTAGCGACTATTTTTTATTTATTCATATCACTTCCGTTGCGCGAACTATCTGAATTGTTCGACTCTTTTTGCTTTGAGTATGTTATCTATCTCTCTGAATATTCTTTCTAATCTCTTGTTCATTCTGATTCTAATATATCTATCACATTTCAGAAGGGTTTGTCCGAAGAAAAAAAGTCACTATACGATTGGACTAACAAAGAAAAATCCAAATCTTTGGATAAACCTTCTTACGATCGTTACTCTAAGAAAGAAGATAAAGAGAAGGACAAAAAAGATAGTAAATTAAGTGGTTCGTGTGACATTGAAACTGAATTGCGAGACAAACGAGGCGGCAGTAACAAAGGGAAGCTTGGAGCAAATGAGATGCTTGATTCAGACAACCCAACTCCGGAATACAATAAACAAGATTGTGTAGTCAGTGGTCTTGAAGACTTAGAGGTTGGTATTCTCGATCAAAAATTTTAAAACCAAACTACGACTTGGCTACAATCGTCTTAAGATTCGAAATTTATGAAAAACGAAAAATAGATTTGGCTAAAATTTAGCGATCACTCTGCGTTTAAAAGTCACTTGTAAAAGATATATATCTACATACTGGCTTTAGCGTTTGAACAAAAGACCAAATAAAACAAAATTGTCACTAGCGCACTAAGACATTATCCATAGTCGACAATAACTTGTGTGCTGCACTGGTAGAGGTTTTTCACAATCAGCATTACAATTGTTATTAATTTTTAATTATCAAAAACAAAATTCTATCCATCGTTCAAGTTTTGCATACGCTTTCTTTCTCTGATAACAAAAAAATGGAGAGTTCGATGTAAAATGCTCCTCTTAAAATAATAACAACAAGAATAAAAAAATGTATGTTCATTGCAATTGCAGGCAAGTTTAATAAGCGAGCAGAATGCTTCGGCAGCGCTCGGAGGCGTTCAGTGGCTTCGTTCCCTGGACCCTCAGGACCAGCAGGGCACTGAAATGAAAGTTATCGGTCAACAGCAACAACTCCGGCCGGTACATTTCATAACACGTGCGACCTTGGAAGTACCTCCATCAGACGGCTCGACGGTCGATTCCTCGACTTCCCGCGAAGATACAATTAAGCTGGATAAGTCCAAAATAAATGTGAACGGCTCTGAAAGGACAAACAGTAGCAGTAGCAGTAGCAGCACTACCATTAACCCTAACGCCTTGCCGCTTTCGTCCTACAACAACGCTGTAAAATGTGTAATGGGCGGACCCTCAAGCGTTTACTCGGTTATGTGGCCGACGCCTAGCATTTCTATGGGTGAATATCGCAAAACAACATACTTTATAACAGTAATAAATTATTACTAGAAACTAATGGGACAATAAAATAATAGTCTCTAGGTTGACAGCACATCACATTGCAGGCAAAGAATCGTCAGCATCCGGTGAGAAAAAATCGTTAGATGAAAACGGCAACGCTGTACAAGGCTACAACGGTGAACGTAAAAAGCCACGTCGGAAGAATGTGCAAGAGCCCAACGTCATAGTATACCAGGCGGAAAATGTCGAGGGTCATCGTGATGATGAGGACATCGATAGTTTATTAAGTTTCATCGAGAATAAAGAGTGTAAGAGCAAGAAAGGCAAAACAAGCAACTCCGTCAAAGTTAAGTCTGCCGCCTATACAAAGTCAAGATCTCGCGACAATAAAGACATCAAAAGGGAACAAATTTCCACGAAATTGCAAAAGTCCAATTCCCTCGAAGAAATTTCGAAGACTAAACTCGAGGATCTCACCACCGAAAAAAGCACGACATCCAGTGGATCTAATAGCGTTTCAAGTCAGCATGGTAATCTTGATCAAAACACTTCGCTCAAGTGATTTAAATTGTTTCTGAGCATTGAGGGTAAGTTAAATAATTTTATTGCGTAGGTCCTTTGAATTTATCTCTACGTCGTGCAAAGCAGCGAAGCACCGGTGATACGTCAGTTGTCCATCCACGAGGTGATCGTAGATCTTGGGGCACAGAGGAGGGCCAGTTAATTTATTGCAATGATACTGGTGACGACTACGGTAGTCGTCGTAATTCAGTGAATTCGGTGAAAAAACATAACGTCGAGAACGAGGCAGAGACGGAATTCCACGTTGTGACCAACAAGAAGAAGAAAACCAAAAAGCAACGCAGAAGCTCAAGTGGTAGCAGAGCTCAAAATCTGTCGGGTTCAGGCTCTTATCTCCAACGAGGTCGAGGTTTCTCAAACGATTTTAGAACGCCACTGTCTCCTGAGCTTAGACGAAAATCTGCCAGCAGCATGCCTCCAAGGTATTAATTTATCACGATATCTTGCGCTTTCTTTATCTGTACTCAAAATTTTCAATATCTTTTATAGTGACAAATCGGATAGCAGTGACTTAGACTCGGTTCATTCGCTGCCAGTAACATCAAACTCATCGAAACACAATTCGTCAAAGACTGCAAACTCGTCGTCGAATGCTCCGCCGGCAAGCTACGCTGACATAGCGCGCATGGCATCGCTTAATATGTCGACCAACCCCGTTATGAACATATCGAATTTAATGTCGAGCAGTCTAATGAATGCACAGACATGGCCTAGTGTGACATCGTCCAAAAATTCCCCAGAAGCCGAGAAACTTCCTAATGCCGATTACTACCCTAGCTTGGACGAGTTACAACATTCTGATCGTAAGTCGCGACAGCACAGTTTCGCCCAACAAGGCGCTAGTCTCAGTCTCGATAAGCCATCCTCACCGACCAATTCGACCAAATCAAAAGCGTCACCGAAAAATAGCAAGAAAACCGACGAGGAGGCTATCAAAAAAGTAGCTAAGTATGTGCAAGATATTGAGAAAATGAAACAACAGCAACAGCAGCAACATAGTCAATCGCAGCAAGATACTAAACAGTCGAGCAACAATTCTAGTCCTAACTCTAACGATACTACACCGACCAATCCACTGCCTACGAAGTTACCTGGATCTCCGACGCAGACAGTGGACTTAGAAAGCAACAGTGGTGAGAATAGCAGTAAGGACTCAAGTGCCAGTTCGAAAAACAGTGCGAGGATACGTAAAACTCATCCGCCAGGTACTCGTGAATTTTCAAATACGCGAAGCCGATCCCAGGCTGACGAGTTGCGTGATCAAATAAAAATTCAGAGTCACCCAGCGGAAGAGCCGATGCAGTCTAAACCTTCCAGTAATCCCCCAGTTCAGTCACAGGCACAGGAAGACGTAAAGGAGCCGAAAAAAGTCGCAAGTAGCTATAACGTAACGGCTGGTCCGTCTGAAACGACTAATGAGCCGACCAAACCAAGGATCGTTATGAGCTCCAAACCTGTCGTCCTTCAGTCACGGCTAATCGATGCTGACATTATACGTGTAAATAAAACTGATAGGCTTCCGAAAGCTGTGAAAGACCAGCCAGTTAACTCAAAAGAGACTACCAAAATCTATTACCCACAGCAGGTACCATTAATACATAATATATTCATCTCTAAATTTTTCACAACGCTAATTAATTTTCATGAATCACTTAATGAATATTTGATTTTAGATTCCTGTCGTCCAAATGAACTGTCGGTTAGAAAAGACAGTCGACCAGACTGAAAGCAAGAAATCAAAGCAGTCAAATAACTTGAACAAACACGAAAAAGAAGCTAAAGTACCAGAGTCACAGCCAGTCAACAAGGCCAGCACATCAACAACTTCAAGACCAGCAGTGATTCTCTTCGACGAGAATATTACCGACCAAGCCAGAAGTACCGAATCCGAGTCAAGTGAGTTGACCTTTGGTTTTGAAGTCAACGAGGAACTACTTCTTTCCGAAGAAGAAGACGAGGAAACTCCAATGGCTAGTCCAGACATGTCACGTTTTTCAATTTCACCGTCAAACTTCAATAGGCAGCCGCCCATATACAACAAACACGTCAGAATAGAAAAACTACCTACAGGCTACCAAATAAATCCCACTTACATACCGATGCATCAGTTGCCTCCACATCCAGTAATAGTGCAGACGATGCCCTTCATGAACTGCCAAATGAGATTTCAAACGCCTTATGTGGTGGCACAGCATCCGCCTCCACCACCACCGCCAGCGGCGACCACCATTGTCGAAAAATGTCGGAATCAACCCAAAGAGGACTTCTCTTCACGTTACATTGCCCCTGATGAAAACCACGTACAAAAATTCAATCACGACAAGATTGTTTCATTTGTCGGATTAGGTAAGCTTGTTGATTTAATTTTCTAACTTGATATTTTTACAGGATGACACAATTCTGATGATAATTATTATTAATAAAGGTGTTAATCTATACGTTGATAATTATTATTCTTTTTTTATTTCATTTCATGACATTAGCATGGGACGACGTGATGCGAGAATCAGGATCAGCATCATCGAGTCGAGTGCAGTACTATAGTGAACAGTGAAAAATTGTCGTTAATATTAGACTATTTAAAAAACATAGTGCTTTAAACACGTAAAAGTATAAAAAAAAAACTAAAAAAATAACTCTACATAAGTTTCAACACATCCACAAATTCATGAAATACGTACATGCTACTATTACTACATACATTTAATCATAATGAAATGAACTGCCTTGTTTTGTTATGCATCTAATCTTAGTGCTCATTTAGTGCTGGTGCGACGTGAATATTGTGACATAATTTCAAAAGGCACAGTTGAACTGCGTCTTGAATAAAAAAAATTAAAGAAAAGTACTTTCGAACCTCAGTAAAAAGAGTATGAAAGATTATATTGATTCAAGCACTGGAAAATTGAACATTGAATCAACGAAGCCGAAGTGGCGCAGTCTAGTGCCTCAGAAGGTAGCAAAGTGTTTGTATAAGTGAGTTTGAGCGCGAAACGTGAAAAAGTGCAAGTCAGAAAGAAAATAAGAAATTTCGCTAAATCTTGGAACATATGTATAGTGACTCGCGAAACAAAGCAAAACGTCGATTGTATATCTTATAGGGTTCACACCAGTCACTTATATTTATCGAAAGTAAAAGACTATTATAAATCCATATATACTACGGAAATCAAAAAGTTCGTTTAGGCGCTGCTCATTTATGAAAAAAAATGAATCGTTAGATTCTTCTTTTTTTTGTCTATAACAAACGCGAATGTATATAGTTTATGAAAGGTTCCCTCTGCGAGGGAAAACAACTACCAAACTGTTAAAGAGCTTAGAAATGGACATTGAACGCGTTTTGGTTTTTCGTGGCAATATGGATAATTTAAGCACGTGTCGAGTTAATGTAGTCGGAAGTCTCGTAATGTGGAGCCAAAAACGGTCGACAGATATGTATAGTGAAGACAGTGCGAGTGTCTCTTACTTACTTCCTAAATAAACAAAAAGCACAGACGATTTTATCGGTCGTCTTGTCGTGCATTAACTGGATTAATCGAAATCGAATGGATTCAGATTGACGTATTTAAGACAAGATCGTTCAGCAATGCAAAAATCTTAAGACAAGCGTCTAAGCGAGTTTAAACGATAACATGTGAATAGTGTTTACTGAAATCATTAAATTTTTACACACACTCGCTTATTTAATAATTATAAATAAATAACTCTTAAATAAGTGTAAATGGTAAAGGATAATATGTGCTTGTGGTTGATTACGAAAAGAATCATTTTAGAAATCGTTACGCTAGTTAGTATTTTTTTGTTTTGCGAGAAAATTGCTGTTCGAAAGTTGCTCAATAAAATCTCTCGATGAGTTTGTATCTTCTGATATAAATAGTCTGTAAATATATACATATTTATCGAGTAAGGAAAAGGAAAGACTATTTGTAGAGAGAAAAGGAAAAACACGTTTTCCTATTAACAGTAACATTGCAAAATGAGGACTATTGAGTATTACACACGGTAATCGTTAAATGCGAATAATAGATATTTATGTTGACATTTTTTTCTTTATTTTACATTATTATATTATTCAATTTCATGTTACTAATCTCTATATTACTAAAATAGATACTTGCATACGTTAATGGATAATTTATTTCTAGTATGTTAAAATTTTTATCCAACTAAATAGCACAAATTAGCACTAAAAAGGTATTTTTCTAAAGTTTGGAACAACAAAATACGGGTATTTTAAACGTGAAAAATCCCCCCCCCCCGTGCCATCTAAACTACGCCTTTGTTGGCAATCACATGGGCGTGATGAGTCATTAGTAACAGAAGCAAAGAATAGTAAATCATGCTAATTGGCTTTAGCGATTCGGAAGCTTCATTATTAACGCTTATTTTCTTTTTTCTTTGTTTTGAGCATTCAATCAATATTAAAAAGTTAATTTTCAGTGAAATGTATATATAATAAGCATATTTGTAAGACCAAACAGCCTTAATATTTTTGAAGATCAAGTTTATTTTCCAAAACTGGGCATATATATGAGTCGAGGATGAATGTTTTCATAGATTTACTGCTGTTCCTAGAGATTTCTTTTTATTTACTAAAAAATTTGTGATTTTCTAAAAAAAATTTGAAAAGTTTGAATGATATATAAAATTAGTATTTTTTTAAAATAAAATTTCAAATCTACTTTTGAATTAAAGAATGCAAAAGTAGTTGAATTAACGAATTTTATCCTAACTTTTAATACTTCAAATGCAGTTTTTTTAATGAAATAATTTTATTGTCATCAAACTCATTAGTTTAAAAAAAACCGTTATTTTGTTAATGTAATGGGAATTTCTTCCGTTGTCCGAAAAATAAGATACAAGTCTTCAGAAATAGATACAAGTCTCTAAAAAGGCTTGATTGATTTATCAGTTAAATTTTTAGAAAATAACACTATTTTGATGAAACTTTCGAGCAGCAATATTCAGTTAAAGGAATGAATGTCTATCGATGAGAGAAATAAAAAAAAATAACAAAAGTAATTACACTTTAACAAGTGTCGCTTTATTACAAAGGCATCTGCCTGAATAAGGAAAAAAGTGATTGCGAGTAACCTTTTTAGTATTAAGCGCTAATCATTTTCTAATTCACAATATATATTAATAAATCTTCGACTTATCTTTTGTTGGTTCTTCTTTTCAGAAAGATATACATGAGACTTGTTAAGTAGATTCTATGTTGTTGTTTTTCCCTTTTTCTTTCATTTTTTTCTCTTGTTACTAAAAATGAACTGTAAGAAGTGAAACAGATGGTAAACACGCACTATACGTTTAGCATAATCAGTTTTATTTAACAATTATGTAAATGTCAACAAATTTGAAGTTTCTTTTTTTTCCTTTACACGCTTTTATTTAACACAACTAAGTTATTTACTGTAAATGATATAAAGTGTTCAAAATTTGCATTTTTATTGTATTATTGTGATTAAATTTTTCGAAACACAAACTGACATTATGTTGAAAATTACGGATTGTATACTATAATATGTAAAGGCGAATTTCGTGGTTGTTTTAATACATCTATTTTGTTATACTGCTAAACAAAGTTTTCAAAATTTTTTCCCATATTGCGGAAAATTAATATATTTTTTGAATTAAGAATAATCTACTTATATAAAATTGGAATTATTAATTTCATACAATATTTTTTTCATATTTATTCAAAATTTAATTTTTTTACAATTTTAAAGTTTATTGATTCGTTGCTGTATAAATAAATTAAAAATTATATCGGTTATCTTACAGTCTCGTAATAATACTGTAACATAAGTAATAATAGTATTTTTTTAAAGTATATTATAATGTTTTAATGAATCATATTTACGGTAACCATAATTAAATTTGTGAATAATGGATCTCATTGCATCACATATACTAAGTACTTAGAATCTCGTAAAACTTTTATCGTTTCAATAATAATCACGGTTTGGTAATCAAAGTAGTAGTTTTTAATTTCGATTGCAAAATGCACGATAAATTAAACAAAAATTATAACAATACCGATGAGTCGTTTTCTATTGAGAGTTAAAACTAATTGTAATCGTAATACTGAAAATTTTTTGTATAGATTATATTTCAAATCTTCCAATAAAAAATATTAGTTTTGTGAACTTTTAAAATTATAAATTTTCTCGAACCTTCATTAAATAGCATGAACTTGGAAATTTATGCAAAATATCTACACGTCAAGCAGCCTATTATGAAGAATTTAATATCAACCCAGAATGGTATTTTTGCTTATCGCTGAAACATTGATTGAAGCAATGTGGTCATAATTATGCAGATTGTTTATGGTTTTCAACATAGTCTTTTCATATTTTCATGTTTTTCATCTTTGCATTTTTGTTATAAATGTTATCTTATAACAAAAATGCTAGACAGTAATTTGACAATTGGTATGACTGATAAAGCATATATCATTTCTCTCGATCGAAGACTGTTAAAAGTATATCTTTCAAAGTAACAAAAAAAACAAACCTGTCAAGAAAAAAAAGCGTGGTAAGGATAAGAAAGTAATGAAACGCTTACTCGACGGATTGAGCGTTCAATCATGTAAAGCTGTATAATATTTGTTATTCGGTGTTGAACACTTTTTCCATATTCTGTATATATAACATACGTATATAAACGCGCATTATTAATCGATTAACGATCAATGTCATCAAATAAACAGAAAAAATCTTATCCGACTAATATTCATTACCTGGCATTACACATATACGTAAAAATGTATCAGTGATATGTCTAGGTATGTGTATAATTGAAAATAACGATGTATACATAGTTGCAGTTGATCGACAAGTGTGCGTGCGTATCGCGAGAGTGAAAGCATGTGCGTGTACGTTTAGCTGGCAAAGCAAAAATGATAAATAAACAACAAAAAAATAGCATGCTTGAGTTAATTGTAATTGCGTGTGTACGATTGATGTGTACATATTAAACATTACATCTACTATTACTACATGTGCGTAGTCGATTGGGAGCGAAAGCCCAATTTTGCGCGTGGACTAATTGACGAAGAGCGAGCAAAGATGGTGTGAATTAAAAGAAAAAAATTAAAAAAAAATAAAGTCGAATGCGAGTTATGCATGGAGACGAGGAACATGAAAGGATTATCGTTGCCAACCTTTAGTACGTTGCCAAAGTCCCTTATATGGGTTCGAGGAAAAAAGAGAAGTCAGCGTAATCGGCGGGCAAACGAAACTCTTGTGCCTCAACTCGAAAGAATTTAGTGCGTCCATGAAATATTTTTGCAAGGATCTCAGTCGTATCCTTCTGCCCATCTTTTCTGCTTGCTTGTGCGTACCTTCCTGTAATTTCAACAATGATAAAAAAGGGGAAAAAATTGGTTAGTTGTAGATTCTCATTGCTCATTATATTGATTCAGGACGTTTCATTGACGCACGATTGTTAACGGAAAGAAAAAACAACAACTCGAAGCTTTGCATTGCAAAGTTTCAATTTTTATTTGCTCTTTTGTATGTAAAATAAACAGATTTGAATGAATAATTGAAGTAAGCGAATCCAAGCGCAAGAGTTTCTAGCAATGCTTTTACGCGCTTCTTTACAGGGAGCTACATTTCTGGATTTTTAGTTACCCTAATAAGCAAAACAGTGCAAATGCAATAAAATAATCAAAGGAAACTCGATATTCCCTATGTATGCAATATATATTCTACTTGAAATCTAGACGCTTTGCTATTTTGTACTTTGTCTTTTAGCATATCGATTAAATAATCAATCGCCTCCAGAAAAGTATCTCCCGGCCGTCGTTAACTAAACTTTGTTACATTAATCCTTAACTAAAAGCGAATAAATAACATTCAAAAAGAATACTTTGATTCGCAAAAAAGATGATAAGATTTAAAAAAAAATTACGGACACAGAACATGTATTCATGTAAACTATTGTATAAAAATAATATAATAAAAACAATGGGGTTCAAGCATGAAAGAAGAAACAATCACAAAAAGAAAAACTATAAAAAAACATTTAACCTGGAAAAAATTTGAAAATACGTTTCACTATTTAAAAACAATAAGCAGGAAACAAAACAGAGAAAAGAGGCATTTTTTTTCTCCTTATTATGTATGACGAATGATGGACACTGAAGGGATGATATAAATAAAAAAATAAATAATTAATTTAAAAAATGTAGTGTCGCTGTATTGGCCTTTAACGCTATATATTTTATCTGCGACTCATAAAAGCTTTGTATACGGTACTGTGATATGTCGCTGTTTATTAATTTTTGTTGCACACGTTCGAATGAAGTCACACTACTATTGGAAAATGCAGCGCTTGTTAACTACAATTAAAGTAAAAAACGCAAAGAAAAACGGTAATGAAAGAAACAAAAAAATAAGTGGTATGCATGGAGGAGTATGTGATAAGAGACTTGTAGCGAGTGAAATCGAATGAGTGTGAGAGGAATGGATAGCGAGGAAACGCCCAAGAAAAAATTTAGCTAGTGTGATAGAGGATGACACAAGGAGAAAAAAAAACAATTTTTTGTGAGAAAACAAAAATAAAAATAACGAAAAATGCGTGCGAGGAAAATCAGGCTGAACGTTTTAAAAGTCGAAATCGTTAGATACTAGTAATCACCACATCCGGAAGAAATGAATCATCAGGCGACGATGAAGATATTTCTTCTCGTCGTTGTTCGATGCGCCAGAGCAATTCCTATGTTCGTGCGTTCCATATCTGCGAAAGTTAATAAAAGAGGAATAATGTTCTCAATAAATATTTTATTGCCCGATTTCATCATTCCCTACTTGTTTCCCTAATCCCAACAGCAATTTGTGGTCATTCGTATTTTTAATACATATGTAGAAACCTAATAATTTGATCATTTTCATAAATTTTAGTTATCATAAATATCAATATTTTATGATTTGTGAACAGATATTTAAATTTTATCATATATACATGGAAATATTTTTTATGTCGAAGAAAACACTACAAAAGTTATTTATTTTCATCGAGTAGTCTTCATTTTTATAAACAAGCATAACGAACCAATTTATTATTAAAAAATAAAAAATCTTTTGATTTCATGAATTGTGACTGTTTTATTTATGTTAATGCAAATTGATTCGTACAGAATGTGGCAGATGTAATTAAGATATAACAACAATGACGTGTGATAGTTGAAGCGCAATTGTTACAGTAAAAATAAATAATACTTTCATAAATTTACAATTAGTTTTTCAACTGTGGAACGTAAACGACATGCTACAATCAATTTATGCTTAAATGCCTTGTTAATCCATGTGCATGATTTCATCAGCGTGGTCGCTATACAGTATTAAGGAGACTATTAGGGTGTGTATGTGTGGTCTGTTAGGCTCGACGCTGGGTCAAGATAATACATAATGGCCAGTGATGCACTACATTTGACAAATGATATAGATTGAAGTAAACCGCTGGTCACTTTTCCTTAGTTCAGTAGCTTAAGGTTCTCACCAAATAAGATCCGAGGGTCAGAAAACCGCATGGTATTTTGCCACAGTCCGCTGTTTCGCTTTGTTTCAATTCCGTACTAACAATAGTTAAAAGTAATCTGGCAATAGCGTTGTGATATATCGGGGTCGGAACATGTAAACACAGTTGATTAGAAGAAACAAATATATAAATAAAAATAACGTTGATCTATAAAACTACACAAAATAACAATAACAATGAAAAAAGTTAATTTAGTAAATTAATTAGTTACTTTCTTCTAATCAACTGTGTTTACATGTTCCGACCCCAACATATTACAATAACATTGTGTCTATTGCCAGATTGCTTTTAACTATTGTTAGTACAAAATTGGAATAGAGCGAAACAGCGGACTGTGGAAAAATACCGTACGGTTTTCTAAACCCTCGAATCTTATCTGGAGAGAGCCAAAAGCGCAGTGTTGCCGCTCGAAAAATTTTTCTTAGGGTCCCTAGAAATTATTGCAAGTTTTCCAGTGGCAACGCTGCTTAATCGTCTATATTGGTTAGTTTGACTGACCACGGACGAAAGACCACGTGTGATTTGCAATTGTCATTCGAGCAAGTGTATTTGAATTGGGCACTATTATTAATTATGAAGACATATTCTGGATTTGTTGAAGGTAAAAGTAGGATTTCTTTTGTTATATATTTATCTTTTGTAAAATGATAACGACATAAATCAAAATAATCTTGAAGGTTATATTTGTGTTTTAATTTTGACAGTAGTTAAAATCTATTGATTTATTGTTTTTATATATGAAATCAGCAGTAATTAATTATTTTAGAAAATGAAGATACCGACGATTATGATAATAACCAATTAACCGATGATATAAATATATACGAGCTTAGTGACGATACGTCAACCTCTGATTCTGAAGATGAACTCTGTAATGCTCGTCAAAGAGGTGAATATTTTTATTTTGTATGGTGAAAATTATAGCTTTATCTGAATAACTTTGTGCATAAAATTTAAGCTAATTGTAATATTAAAACATTCGTTTTCTTGTAGAAACAAATGGTGCAAGACAATCTACATTTAATAGACCAAATGGTAACAATGAGGAAGACTCAGATAAAGAAGATGAGGAAGATGAAGATGAAGATGAAGTAGTAAAAGCTATTTTAAAATCAAAAGAACTTCACAAAAATCATCCTCCAAACATCATACTGGATGATATTATGGCAGATATCTGTTTTCATCCAAAAGAAAATTTGATTGCCTTAGCTAGTATTACTGGAGATGTTTTATTGTAGGTTTCAAAATATTTGTTATTATTTCAACATAGACTACAATTTTTATTTAATTATTTTTTTCAGGTATAAGTATGGTAATGAAAAAAATGAACTAAAATCAACAATAGAACTGCATGAAAGAGCTTGCAGAGACATTGAATTTAGTGAAGATGGTAATGTTTTGTTTTCAACTGGTAAAGACAAAACAATTATGTTGAGTGATGTTGCAACAGAAAAATTAATTCGACTTTATGATGAAGCACATTTGTAAGTAATATATCTATGATAATAAATTGATTAACCTTTTCTATAAAACTTTTTTAATATATTTAGAGATCCAATCTATTCTCTAACTGTAATAGATGAAAACTTATTTTCAACTGGTGATGATGAAGGAACAGTGAGATGTATGAATTTCAATTTTTAAATATAGTAAAACAATCATTTTGTAAGCTAACTCAAATATCCTATTGCAGTGTGGGATCGTAGAAAACAAGGGTCTACACCAGTATTTTCTTTAAACGAAATGGATGATTTCGTTAGTGCCATGATAACAAATGATGACAAAAAATATTTAGCATGTGCCAGTGGAGATGGTACTTTGACAACCTTGGGTATAGGGAGTAGAAAATTACATTGTCGAGTAAGAATATTTATTTACTATATACAACTTTTACTTTTTATTTCATATCATTTGAATATATTTTCTTTAAATTTAGACAGAAGATTATCCACAAGAATTAACGTGTCTTGGATTATTTAAACATGGAACAAAGATTTTGGCTGGTGGAAGTAAAGGAAACTTATTCCTCTTCAATTATGGTGAATTTGGGCTTCATTCTGATGAAATACCAAGCTTAACAAAGAAATCCATAAACTGCATGATACCAATAACAGAAACTATCGTAGTTACTGGTGGTGAAGATAAAATATTGCGGTACTTAAAATATTTTATATTAATTTATTTTTAATAAATTGCATCTAAATTAAATAAATTAAATGAAAGTACTCTTCTATTTTCAGGGCTACCAGTCTATTTCCTAATAGACAGTTAGGAATTGTTGGCCAGCACGATTTATCTGTGGAATGTTTAGATATTTGCAATGATGGGACTATCATTGCATCGTATTCTTACGATAATAGTGTTAAGTTTTGGAATATTAGTTATTTTGAAACCTTAAATGTATCAGAACCTATAAAGGGTGGAAAACAAAAACAAATTAAGCATAATTTACCTAGCAGTAAATTAGATAATGTATCAGACTTTTTTGCTGATCTGTAAAAAATAATGATTATAAATTATTAAGTATATAATGCTAGAAGTAAATCATTTTAATAAAAAGACCAAAAAATAAAACTTAAATTAAAAATAAAATCCTTTTTAGGTAATATGATTAAAGTACGATTTATTATATATATGTATACTTTTCATACAATAAGTTATGTGTTACATTCGCAAATATAAAATGCTTGGTAGTACAATGAAGTTTTTATAAATGTATTTACATCATAAATGCTTAACAAATATTCTTATCATAAAAAAAATAAAAATAGTTTCCCATCAAGGGTAATACTTTGTAGCAATATACTGAAAAGTATTACAAATGTGCAATTTTTTTCTTGTTTTCTTTTTTTAATAACTTATGAAATTCGTACCACTAATTTATAATTTTTCTTAACATCTAGGGATAAAATGTAACAATTTAATTCAATTAATAATTATATTACATACACAAAAATATCAGTTTGATTAAATATGAACTCAATCAACTGCACTAATGGCAAAAAAAATTCACCGATAGAAATTTTCAAAATACGAATTTCAAAATATTGGAAAAGCGTTATAAAATATTTTATTCAACCGTGACCCGTCTTAAAAAATGCATTTTTGACACCACATGCACAAAGTACAATGCACGCTCAGCCAAAAACGTGCACTCAAAATCGAACTTTGCACATGTCGTATCAAAAAATATCGTATGATACATATTTGGTAAAGAGATTCCCGTCTCATGTGTCATTTACGTCCGACGAAGCGGAAATTCACATGAGATAACAATCTACTTTCCCGCTCTTGTATCTTAATTATTATAAAATAACCTACGCATAATACTCTAAATATAGTGCGTGTGCATGAATTGAGAAGTGCGAGTAAATAAACATGTATAAATCTAAAAATTTGCTATGATCAAAAACTATTGCATATAAAAGAGATTATGCATAAACGTAAGGAGTTAGTCTAACGTATTTTGCACTAATTCAGATGGTTTACCTAGTTTTGGTAAAAGAGCATAGATAATAAACCTTCTAAAATTTGATTTGTAGCCATTTACGAATGATTGATTTGTCGTAAATATTCCGGAGCATGATAATGTTGTTGGACATGGGCTAATGATGGATGTATTGGCGGTGGAAAACACCTTACATGTTCCACACTGGAAGCATCACTGTCACCGCTCTTCAGATACTTATTCAAAACGGCAAATATTTGGGAATTCAATACCTGAAACCGCCTGATTCTATCAACCATACGTTTCAAATGCTGAAAAATAATTAAAAATGTAAAAAAAAAAAGAATGTTGACTTTACCCCTCATGCATTTTAAATAATACTTACAATTCCTTTGACATGTTCATCTTTTCCATCAACACGTTGCACTCTTAAAATGTGGTAACAAAAGTCCAAAGCTTCAAATCGTCGTTGCTGGCCAAGAAGAGTTATCATTGCACACCCAGCCCAGTGTAAGCCTTCACCAAACAATTCCCTAAAAAATTCAACCAAATTAAATAGTATTGTAAGTTCAAACGTTATATTTGCGTGTGTGTACTCACTCTACTGTAAATTCAGTCTCTCCAACTGGAATGCAATAGACAAATTGAAGAGCGCTCCAAAGTCTATGAAATTCAGTACACTCATCTATATTCATCACGCCGTTGGCGGGTGGCGGTCCTACCCAAACTGGATCATCCAAAAAACTACGCAGTCGACTTAATACAACTTCAAAAATTGACAAACCGCAACAGAGCCTTTCACGTGTTAATAAGTCTCCTTCTCTGGCAATCATTGCTTGCTGCAATTGCCATTATATTTAAAATGAATTCTGAATAATTACATGGATCATTAATAACTTACCTTTGCTGTTCCAAACTTGTCTACATTTGGCACAATCTGAAGTGCTCCATATTTGGCTTCTAATCGCTTTTGCTTCGTTTCTGGTTTTTCTCCTTCTAAATCGTTAAAAAAAAAAGAAAAAAAGAAAATTTAACCTATACAAATAAAAATTGCAAAACGAAGTTTGTCATCGAAAAAAATACCTTTACAGTAGGGTCTAGGCAAAATATTTTGGAAAGGTGCAGCGTGCATCAAATCACAAACCTCCTCCTGTGAAAGAGCTTGTTCCATCAGCAAACAAAACAGAATAGTATTCCCAAATTCACGGAAATTATGAAACAATTCAGTCTTGGCATCTGGATACTGCACAATATCGTTCAATTGTGCGTGGTAATAACCAAGAACACCCGGTGATCCGTAGTCGTATCTCGGCAACTTGCAAACTTTTGGCATGGCTTCCATTAGGGTCTTAGTGAATTGTAAAAGACTGCCTTGAATGAGAGACTTGACAATTTTTAAAAGTTCTTCCATTACGACAGCGATACCCTGATAGCCAAGAAGTTTGCACATCGTGCGGAAGTGATATGGACCAACGAAACCGGTAAACTGGCCGTATTGCGTGCTGTACGCGAGATTCAATTGTTTACTACCCCAGAGATAGTGATGAGACATTTGTGGATGTTTGTCGCGATGGACTGGTTGTACGAATTGAAGACCACGACATTTCACAAATCTATCAATAAAAAGAACTAAGTATTTAAGTATTTTGTAATTTTTTTTTGATTTAGTTATAAATATTTACCTATTAGTAGCAGCGTTGTAACAATAATTCGGCAAAAAGTCATAATTTAATTCCCAAAATACATGCAAGGTGATACGACCATATGGTGCTAGGACATTGTGATTGGCTTCTCTAAACATGGCATCATATTCATCTAACGCTAGCCACTTGGTTAGGAGCTTATGTGTCAAACGATTGACTTGCAATAAACCTTCTAATTCCTAAAATTATAAATGTCGAAATCAGTCGTCTATAAGAAAAATTTCGTTAACTTTTATAAAAATCAACTTACAACAACTCCAGTAATATCTCCAGATTCGAATTTACTGATAGCTAAATCCAAAGACTTCTGCATATCGGCATTGATTCGCTGTGTAATTAACTTATTTAAATCGATACTCCTACCAAGTAATTGAACATTTCGCTGCTTTAAAAGAGTTTCGTACCGATTGGCACGGGGATAAGATAAAATGTAAGCACCAGCAGCAATACATTCTACTCGGAATCTTTTATCCAATAAAATACTAGATGCAAGCTGCTTGTAGTGGGCGAATATCTGTTCACTTAGCTTATAAACAAACTGATCGAAGCACAGATTAACCTCCGCTTCCACTTCGTCGTAGAGAAATTGTTTCCGGAAAATTGTTAGCGCATACAAAGCGCTATCGTTGTACAAATCCAACGGGTACAATACATACCTGGAAGTATTCAAAGAAATATGTAGAATAGATTTTTGAAGCCGAGGAAAAATTTATTTAATACTAACTCCATCATTGAGGGCTCTTTGCTTCGAAGTATGTGATCGGTTAAAATCCATGGCATTGACATTTCAATTGGGAACTGTAAAAAAGAAAATGGAACAAAAATTCTTTAGAACTAATAAATTTTAAACGTAATTAGCAGTTAGTATTAAAAAACCAGACGATAAAAATCTAAAAAAGATATTAAAAAAATTATATACTTTTTACATTACATCTATGATAGCATTTGAATCATAATGACCGTAAGTGCATCATAACAAATTACTTTCAGTCATTATTTTTCCATTCGCTACGAATCAATCAATAAAATCACATTGATTGATAGGTAATCAGACAAAAATATTATATAAAAATATTGTATTAATCTTAAAACCATATTATCATCAACACCAAACATGAATTATTACTCTTGTACGTGTAGATTGTAGTTAATTGCTATAAGTTTGTAATAATCGCTCATAAAATCATACAGAACATAAAAATTACAAATTATACTCAAACATGAGGGATACACCTCTGGTACAAATTATTTTGCTTAAAAAAATATTTACAAATTATGTGAGTAATAGAATCAATAAAATTAAACAAAAAGAACACTCAGTGCAATTCATAAATATCCAAATCCCAGTCGTGCAGTTTTGATGTCGTGGAACTACAAGTAAAAACGTGTCTACCCCCTACAATGAGATGAAGATTTGAAGCCAATAGAATACCTGAATGCGCTTCTCCATGGTGATCAAATCGCTGCATTCTTCGTTATGTTGGTGTCGAACTTGGCATTTCTAGTCATGAAATCAGTTTAGAGATAGTAGCAAATATTGAGCTTAGCAGAAAAAACTTATTGCGATAGAAGTTCACGATTTATGAATAGAAAGATTTTAAAGCGGAAAAGCGACGCAGCAAAGGATATGGTAGAACTTTCATTAGCCTTCCATTAAGTACTTGACCGCTTATTGAATAATTTCTTTCAATTATTACGACTTGACAGTAATTAATTTTATTCTTACCTGTATTTTACGACCCATGGTCATTTCCAAATAAAATTCCCTGTACCATAGTTGTGACAAGTCGCAACAATTTTGTAAAGATTCTATAAGAAAAAATGAATATAAGTTAGATTTTAAATCCAACAGTTTAATTCTATGTAAATTTAAATAGAAAGCTTGTAACATACCACTAAAATTCAATAGATAACTCCAATAAAAACTAGTTTTGTGAAACTGATCAATTTGTACAAGATATTGTCCATCAATATCCTTTCTGAGCGTTCGCTTGCCACCACTTTTGTCTGCAATCAATGACTCTAACATCGTGCGCACCATATAAAGTTGAGTTGAGGATGGACCTTTAATAAGGAAAAGCATAAAATGAATGAAAAGTTTTGAGTAAACCATTTCGTCAATTATTAATTTATCAAAAACTTACCAACTTTCCTTCTTGGAACTTTAATACCAAATCCATTATCTGGATCTTTCTTTCCTTTCAAAGCAGGATCCGCTGTAGGTTCTACACCAAAATGCCAGTCAGCGCACGTTTCTCTTACAGATACGATGATACTGTAAGTAAATCAAATAACAATATTCAAAAAATTCTTATGTAATAATTGCCTCTGTGTATTAATACGAACCTTCTAATTAAATCTTTCTTATTTTTTATTGCTTTCCGTAGAGGTTCGCGAAGCATCAACTGAACAAAATCTTGTAATTCAGCATATATATTTCTACGAATTGCATCGACAAATACTGTTTCCATTCGTGCCATTAAAACTTGAAGACCTTTGATCATAGCTATTACTTCAATTAACGCGAATTTTTCTTCATCAGTGTAATTATAACGCGTGGCCTAGAAAGAAAAATGGGCTTGTTAGTAGTCGTTTATGGCAAATGCAATTTATAATTGCAATGCAAATTTACTCTTTCATATTCTTCAGCTTCTTGAGGACACTCTTTGTTCATATGGTGATCAGTCGGGTGTAAAAGCTTCCAACTGTACAACTCTGTTACAACACTAGTCCATTCAGATAATAATTGCAATCCTCTCAAAGCTAATTCAGCAGTGTCTCTGTTTTCAGAGTCACTTCCACAATCTTTGTATGTCGTAGTTACTTCATTACTATATCTACAAAAAGTGATTGATTTTAGAATTTATAACTTTTTTTAAAGAAAAATAAAAGAAAAAAAAATAATGAAATTTTCAGCTAATTCTATTCATACCTTGCTAATTCACTAATATATTTCACGTGGTCTTCACGAATTTGAGGTAAATGAACCATTAGATCAGATTGAGGGCTTATACTATTTGTTGATGATGACAATGGCCACTTAGAAGCATCAAAATGTTTTGATCGTTTAATATAGTTGAATGGAGCAATTTGCATATCTCCAAAAAGTGGCACCACTTCAAGATTTTTAAAAATTCTATCGATCCTATCTAATTTCAATTTTTTCTTTTGGTCTAACTTATTGATATTGCACAATTCACTATCCATGAGGAAAAGACCAAAACCCATGACTTTAACTAACATGTGCTTTTCATTTGGGGTAAGATACATTTTGGTTTCAAACATATGAACACATATATTTACTACATCTGCTAACAATTCCTCGTAGCCTGAAATTTTTTCTAAATTTTCCTTAACTGTATCTCTAATTTTATTTTGTGTTGCCAGAAACATTGATAAATTTTGAGATTCCTGAAGAGTTTGAGAGTCCGACATAACTTTTAAAAACTGAGCAGCTCTGTAATCACAGTATGAATTATATTTAATTCTAAAAAAAATAATATATAAAAATTACCTTCTATATGTGGAATAATCATTTTTTACGCTAGATTTCATATTTTTTAGTTCATCCAAAACAGCAAACATATTAATGAATTTACCCAATGTCAATAAATAAGCTTCAGAAACAAAGTCTTTTCGTTTCTCTTGATGGCACAAGCGTTTTACTTCAGCTGAAAACCTCTCTATTGCTTTCCTCTGTGAGATTATAAAGTAATGTGTCTGTTAGCATAAGCAGTTGTGTTTCTTTTATCAAATGATAATAACATGAATCATCAAAAACTAAAATGGAATGAGTCATGCTAAAATAAAATCAAACCTTGCACAAAGAGTATACTTACTTGAAAGTACATAAAATTTAATAACTTGTTAACCTCTGGTGCTAATACTTCAACTGTTTTTTCATAAATTTCAACTCTATTGGGTTGCTCATTGGATTTTGGTTGTGGTATAGCTCTTGAACAACATCGCCAAGTATAAAGCATAACAGCATGCTCCAATCCTTCTTCTAACAGTTCATTCTACAAAAAAGTATCAAGTTTTTAAATGTCTGTATTAAAAAATGAATTACTTCAATGTATTAAATAAATGTTCACATACCAAACTTGCATGAACTGTTGCCTCTTCTATATATTTAGCAATACCCGTAACAAAACCATTTCTGTCTTCGAAGTTTGTATCAAAATTAGCTTGATATACAACCGAACATGGTTGTGCCTCAATACAAGGCTGCTCATAAGGCAATGTGAACTCGTCAAGAACATCAACATTGGATAATGCATCTCCAAGTGTTACTTTATCAGTTGCCATGATTACCCTAAAAGAGCAAATCTAATTATAGATTTTTAATATGCAACTTTGACTAAATTTTATAGATAAAATGTCATAAAATTGTTTTCACTCCGTTTTCACCACGTATTCAGCAGCATGAGAGTAAGTTTGTAACAAGCTTAGTTCTGCATGATAAATACCTGTTTTTTAGTTTTTCACAATATATGCTTCTTATCTCAAACAAATCCGTAGTAAATCACAATAGGTTATGAATTTGGTTTATTTAGAAACGGAGTAAAAACATGCAAGCTAGCACGAAGTTTGCAAAAGAAGTCGACGAAAAAGTGATTGATTCTGTAATGTTACGATATGTAAGAATGAAGATTACCCGTTGTCGCCCTAAAAAGGGCTTTGCGTGGGAGTCTTCCTGCGAGAAATGATATTTAACTCCACCCTGAGCACAGAGCACTGTCAAAGCGTCGAGACGAGTAACATGGCGGTACAGCGGTAAAACTATCGCCTGTGTGTGTTGGCTCATATACTGCAACGCTGAATATATGTACCTATGTGATGTGGTGGTAGATTACGCGACAGGAGGTACTGTTATACATACTTAATTATTAATATAAAATTAGGAGTTAGGTTTGTATAGACATAACTGTTAAAGACTTGCACGAATAATCGAATTTACTATATTATTCGTGTATTGACGTTAAATTAAAAAATCGCCGTTTACGAAATGAAAGTATTCGATAACATTATTCTTTTTAGTATTTATAGGTTTCTTATAAATATTTCAATTACATTAACCGATAATTATTAACTAAATCTTTTTGCAATGTTTTTTAGAAGAATATTTATTTTTAATTTTGAATAATTATACATATATATTAAGTGAATTCCTTCATGAAGACATGTCCAAATCGCGATTATTCTAAAAAAATTCTAATCATATAAGTCAATAAACCAAGAAAAAAGATTTCATTAAGTTCTGAATTTATTGACATACGATAAGAGCACACGATTATACTGACATTTATACATTCAAAACTAATTGATTAAGTGAATACGAACAATCTAAAATATTCAGGAAAAATGTAATTTACTGAAATTAACCGCAACAGCTACTAAGTTCTGGATCTTGTTCTGATTCTAGAGAGCGTTTTTGAATAGACTTTGCAATTTTCGTAACTTTTCCTTTGACGTTTGCAATAGATTTCAGGTCTGCACCTGCAATCGATTGAGATGCCTCTTGACCTGACGATGTTATATTATCCATGACATTTACTTCCTAGAAGTATAATTTTTATTGTTACTCAAGATGTGAAGATCAACCTATATAAAACAATTTGTTAATAAAACTTTGATTTTTTTCTTATTAATCAATCGCATAACATTTGAAGAAATATCTGTAACGACATCAAAACATTTAATAATGAATTATTAACATGAAAATAAAATATTTCAAAAGATAATATAAATTGATTATGAAGGAAAAATATCTTTGGATATATTTTCAGTAAATTGCACGTTTATAAATGTTAGAAAAAAAACTTACTTCTTCTTTATCCAAAACATCATTAACTGCAACCATATTATCGGTGTCGCGACGATTAATTTCCCTACCTTCAGTCATGACACCGAGTACGGTAAAAAAAAGAGCGAGGTACAAGATAAACTTGAACATCTTTAAAGTTTTAAAAAAACTATTAAATGTTCTTACGGCGAGAATCAAATGATTGGCGATTTTTCCGAGTTCAAGATCTATTTAAAAGACGCTAGCCACTCAACTGTTTAGCAATTAGTCGATTAATGGATTCGATAGTGCCACAACTCTGAATGATTAATAGCTTCTTTTATCGCTTTTGTTAATAATAGAGCGCACTTACTCACCTTTGTTGTAGGTTTTAATAATGCGCGTGACAGGAAACGTTTTCTAAATCTGACAAGAGGGTTCATTTTCAGAAATCAACAGACAACAATTTACAATATTGAAATTTGATTTTTTTATCCAGAAACGTAGAAGTTTTAAAGTAAGTAAATCATTATAAACATTTATTCATAAAATACGTTCATAAAATTAATAATAAAATATAGTAAACAATTGACATTGCTCAAAATCAAGATTATATACGAGTGATTGTTTTTTCGTATATATGACATTTTTGTGAGAACAGTTTTTGGTAATATAGTCTTCAGCAGTAAATTTTGCAAAAGTAAAATTATTTTTGCCCATAATTCTCGTTGACGTTTCGTAACAATACAGTATTTTTTTTTATTATTATACATACATCTTTGTATTAATTATTAATGCATTGTTTCATGGTTATTATTGAGCTTTTTCACAATATCGCTTAGCCGTCATACATTGTAATTGTTACAAACGTTGCTTATTATTATTCTTTTTTTTAGATTCAATTTCACACCAAGATATTGTCGATCGAACATAAAGTCAGCCCGAGTAATATCGAAGCAGTAATTAACAATTTTTTTATTCTACAGGATTACAAACAAAGAAATTCAGCTGTTCCATCTATGTATTTTTTGCATGCGTGTTCTATATTTCGCGGACTGGCTAAATAATGTTTCTACATAATTATAGCACCACGTAACTCATTATAATCGATGCCAATTATCTCAAGGCACACCTTTTCATTATTTTTTTTTTCTTTAACAACAAATGTTATCTACGCAGTTACGGTTTCCATATTCTGGTTGGTTGGAAGAAAATTGAATTTCCGAATACACTTTGCATTATATTTATATTTCGATACTTGTTGCGTGTTTTTTTCTTTTACTCCAGTTTTGTCAGTCTTAACATGTGTTTCCACAATTTAACTTTCCAAAATATCTCAATCTATTATTATTTTTTTACAAAGAACCGAAGCAACTTTTATTCTATCTTCTTCAAAAAATTCTAGTAAAACGCAATTTAGATTTGACTTTACATTATTAAGAACATTTTTTTATATTACAATCATTTAATAGAACACTAATCAAAATTGCGCTCAACTAGAATATTATCAGTCATAAATGTTGTCATTCTACGATTCCACTGCTGTTAGAGTTTTCAATGTAAAAACTCATCAGCCGCTAGTGTCGGGGTAGTGTCGGTTTTACGATTGAGTCTAAGACTACACGAGCCCCACTTGGCACCCCGTTCCGCTTCGGCGCTTTCCATCAATACAGCGTAGGTTGACGGGTCTAAGGCTTCTTTGCTGTAATGAATCCCATACAGGAAGTAGATGAGTAAACCTGTAAAAAATGAAGGCTGGAAATATCGATTCGACGTATAAATTGGCCAGAATGTCTACTTACCAACTATCATCCAGACAAGAAACCGTAACCACGTTAACAGGGATAGATGAAACATCAGGCCAATGTTGAGAAGAATACTAATTGCTGGTACAAGTGGAACCATCGGTACTCGGAAGCTTGAACCATTTATACTTGGTGGATTTTGTTGATGGGCAGCTATGATTAAAAGACCTGAAAATATAGTCGTGTCGATGCTAATCAAAGTTTTTATCGCGAGTGGCGATCAGTCAATTGAAACTTACTGGCAATAATGATGACAAGTAGATTGATCAACATCAAGTAATCCCACCAGGCAGGCGAATAAGCATTCTGCGACAGGAAGACCAACAGCGAGCACAGTGATACGGAGGCAACGGAAAAGAATATGATACACGTGGTCACCGCAGTTCCAGGCTCGTAGTTGCCCAGAAAGCTTGCCAGCCAAGCGTAACGCGCTCTCACTTTGCCGATGTCGTCCATACAGAATCCTTGTAGGAGCTGTCAAACGATTCATTACAAGTGCATCGCTGCTCGCGTCACATTCTAAATAAGAAGAACAATTGAGGTCAGACCTGCGACTCGATGGAAGTGGACATGCTGTAGCAATCGCTCAAATCCATGCCTAAATCGGTGTTGGCCGGGGAAGCCAGTTGGTGCGAAGAATTCGGCGCCGTGGTATTAGTCGACAGCGTATTGTCTTGAGCTTGAGAAGGCGGCGGCGGTGGTCTGTATCTCAACACGATAACACTGGCCGAAACGATGGTGTAAGCGAGGAAAGTACCAATGGACATGAACTCCACCAGATGATCGAGATCGAAGAGTAACGCTATGAGAGCTGACACGAGTCCACTTATAGCAAGGTTGATCGTTGGTACTTGGGTACGTTTGCTCACTCGTGCGAGGAAATCGAACAGTAATCCGTCGCTGGCCATAGAGTACATCGTTCGTGGTAGAGAGAACAGAGAGCCAAAGAGCGTTGTCGTCATGCCGCAGAGAGCACCCACGCTGCGTTTCCGCGTGAGAAATCAACGTAACGATTACGCCGCGGGCCAATTGTGTTTGCGCGCAAGATCGAGCGACACCAACCTGATGACGTATTTAGCCCAGTGCACACCCTTGGCGGCGAAAGCCTCGGGCAAGGCAGCATCGCGACTGATCCTCGCGTAAGGCTCGACGAGCGTAAGTGCGGCGCTCACGAGGATGTAGCCAACGGTGACGATAGCCATGGAGAGCCCTGTTGCCAATGGTATACTGCGTCCTGGAGTACGAGCTTCTTCACCGGACGTCGCTATCGAATCGAAACCTACGAATGCGTAGAAGCACGTCGCGGCGCCTGTTGAGTCAACGGATAGCTTATTTTAACAATGGCTTAGTTTCTTCTTGGAAGCTGTATGCTTTGCCGGATATTATTTATGCTTATTTTTGCTTCCCCGGATGAGCTATGGAAAAGAGGGAAACCATGTGACGCGCGCACGATTTCCAAAAGTAATATTTACATAGGATCTTAACAGGGCTTTCCTCGCGTCAATACGCCGACGTAAGAGGATCAAAGTACAGCCAACGAAGAACGTCCTTTCCATTCTTCCAAGACTTTACGTTTCGCATCGCATCGATCGTTCGTCGTGTTACAATGAGGCATTTCTTAGAAAACAATTTTCTCGACCAATCAGTCAACGTAACAAATGGAATAATCCAAACGAATATTGATGAATACCAGCAAATACTCCAGTCATTCCGAACGGCAAGAATCCGGTGCCACGATAATTCCAGTTAGCCAAATCCCCGTGATAGAATCCTAATACGATGACAAGGCCCATCACACCGAGATTGACAAGAGTGAGCAGCGAGTTTACAGCTGCCGAACATTTCACCCCAAGAGCCAAAAGAAGTGCGTAAATGAGGCATAAAGTTGCTGCTAGCGGATCTGGCACAGTACCCAATGGCTCCTCCATACTGTGACCGGACATCAAACGTTTCGTGAAGTTGCTGATCGCTCTGCCCGACAGTGAATCTACGTAGCCACTCCATGCGCGCGCTACCGATGCTGCACCTATCGTGTACAGTTCGTATGATTCTGATGGACCATTATCATTGATACATTGTCAATGCAAGTAATATATACCCGGTTTGGTCAGGCACAAGCTAATTTATTTTCATTGACAGCGTTGTACCATTTTTTACTTCTACGTCTACAAACAATCATTATTTACCAATCATATGCTCTAAGATGATGTTCCAGCCAATGACGAATGCCCAGAACTCGCCAACAGAAACGTAAGCGTACACGTAAGCACTGCCAGCTTTCGGTACTTTTGCGCCAAATTCCGCGTAACAAAGGGCGGCTAATAAAGATGCAAGGCCCGCCAGCAGAAAGCTTAATATAACGCCGGGACCAGCCATATCACGAGCCACGGGTCCGGTCAACACGTATATTCCAGCGCCGATCATATGGCCGATACCTTCGAGAGTAATGATTAATTGCAATTTTTTATTTGTCAGTATAGATTCGACAACTGGTTCAGTTGTCAAACAAACTTCTTCGAGAGTCAATGAAATAAAAATGATCATTTCGTTGTGGTGACTGATAAAATTATGCAAGAAATACTAAAAACAATGCGATCGATTAATCGAATAAGAATTACGGAGTTGTTATACGAAGTTATACGAAGATATTTATTTAACGAGCTGATGCCAATGCGCTCGGAAGATTTCACGAAAGTATTTCAAAATTATTAAGCGTGGGTGCAGTGAGGCACGCGGCATACATACCAAGGAGAGTAATATCGAACGTAGACAGGCATCTCTTCAATGGGGTGTCCATGACGTCACCCTCCAACTTTTTCTTACGATTAATTTTCGCGCGCATATCTGACATAACGTGGCCTAAAATGATCCTTCTGACTGACGGCATACCTGAAAAATTATCACACCCACTTATCTGATTGAATTATAATGTTTGCATGTTTCACGTAATTCTGCATTAACAGACCGTGCACCTTAGTTATGAGCTCTTTTTTCTTAATCCGATCGACGAATAACTTGAACGTTATTTAGGCTCGCAAAGTGACACTTTGAAACAGTTCGGTTGTAGTCACCCCCCTCCCTATCCTCGCGTACTACGATGCGACATTATAAAGGACAGATTGAATTAAGGTGGCCGTTATTTTAAAATGCGATCACGAACTGCACGAACCACGCACGTGACAGTTTTCCCAATCGATGTGTAAAATAAAAATAAAATCGATAGGTCCATACACTCCCACACACTTTATGTACTTTACGTGGCACTTTCTTCCATAGAGATCCTTATTCCCTCTTCAGTGTTTCGCGTCGATCATCCCAAGTAAGATAATAAAAAATAAGTATCTCTTTCATTGATTTACGTCATCTTTCACGTAAGCTTGTGTCTGCGTTATACGGACAGCAGATTGATTCCAACAGGTGAAAAATTGATTAGACTGAAATATAGAGCTACTGGCCGTAAGTTGAACGCTGCGTAGCTCGCGAAGTTGAAACTATCGTTTTATATTCTTGTACTGTGGTTCCAACGCATTTTTTTTATTCTTAAACTGCACAACAGAACCAATTCTAAACACGAAAATAGTCCATCGATTTCTCGCAGTCTCAGCACTGTCTCGCTTCCAGCAAATCCATGCCCTTCCCCCGTGATAATCACGCATCCACAGAGAAGAAAAACAGAGAGAGAGAGAGAGAGAGAGAGAGAGAGAGAGAGAGAAACTTACTTTGATCAGTGTGATCCTCGTTGCACTTCGTTCTTGCTGCCTATGGCGAGTGACGCGTGCGTGCGTGTGTAGAGCTCACTTTTCCCATTCAGGTATAGAGCAGGCTGCCGGCGGCGGCGTCGGCTCTCTGTTCACCAGCATACGACGCATGCTCGAGGGCGACGATCGATCGAGGCCCTCCAGCTCGTCTTCGCTGTCTCTTTTTCGCCCAATGATTTTCCAGCTGCGCGCACGAGCCGCAACTGTTGTGGCCGTCCCACCAAATCTGCGAGGACTTGTGCGCGAGATGACCGTGACATTCTGCCAAGGTTGTTGTTAGAGCTTGCGGCTTGATTGCGAGATTCGCTCGTTGCTGATGTTCTTATGTTGACCATCGTAAGATTGAGCGACACATCGATTTTGAGCGTTAATTTAGCGATACTAAAACTTGATAAATGTATTACTGTGCCAGTTGACACTTTGTAAGGTCGTGAAATTCGAACAAGTAAGCACATGCTTTCAATGCAATTCTAATAAAAAGTATGAAATGGCAATAAATTAGTTTTTTTTTCTTAGCACTATACACCTCAACAATTATTCAAGTAAACTTTGAGAATGAAGTTAATTGGCAAGCTATTCCCTGTGATGCTAAAAAGATCTTTCGTTAGATTAGCGTGAGCAGATAAACGATGCGTTATCGACGTACGCTATAGCTTCGGAGCTTCTTGGAGAATCGTGTAGGTAGCGCGGCCAGGCGGGGCGTGCTCGACGCAACACGTGAGCTTTTTCATTCCACGGGTAACTCTTGCGCTTGTAACCTCGACTGTCGTCACTTTTCAAGCTGTCACTGTATTTCGCAACGCTAACGAGTGCATCCGAGCTCTGTTTGCCGCTGAATTACGTCGCAAATTTTTCATTCGACGCGCAATGCTAAGTACGAGCATACCCGTGTCGGTAAGGAACGACCGAAAAAAAAAAAAAAATGGCCGAACGAATTGGTCAACTTGCAGATACTCGTCAAGCGACAACGAAAAATCGAGGCACTCGGCGAGAGCTTATTTCCTCATACATATACATACGGGAATAGAGAAAGAAGAGATGGTTTGGAGCGCGCAGCGTGTATAAATCATCGCCGGGTACAGCGAATCCCTGGCAGCCATTATGGCGCGAGCCGTGGCTCGTAAACGAAAAAAATCGCCGTTCGCCGCCCCGATCAATTTCTGTTTTTGAAGGGTGACTGCAATGACTTTTTCCATCTTTTTCGACCCTACGCGAACGACGAGTATTATTTATCGCGACGATAAACGCCAAAAGTTACGGGTGCGTACGCGCACTTTGCCATAAGGGTCGATCGTCTTTGCGAACGAATGGTGCGTGACTTGTTGTTGCCTTTTGATTATCCTATTGATAGAGCTACCCGAGAACAGTGAAACTGGTCGTCAAGTCCGCTAAATATAACTTGAAGGAGATTTATATTTGAGGGCAGTGAGCGGACGTTGCCCGTCGACAAATTTTTAATCGTAATTTTATTCTTCGATAAAGAATGCGCCGACGTATTTCGCATAGCGCGCGTGAAAGCACGTTAGCGCGAGCAAAAGCTTCTTGGCAGTGTCGAACTCGTATCGTTGACCATGGATGCAATGGCAAAAACTTTTACGCAATACACGGAACACGCGTGTTGAAATATTTCACCCGGTTGATCTCGAAATTCTCGATCTTGTTGCCCCGAGATCAAACGGCACGATCGCAACTGTCCAAAAAAATCATACCGACCAACGTACATCACTTTCAGCCAACATCCGCAAGCTTTAACGACGTCCCAGCGCGCATTGCGGCAATTTTCGCGCGAAGGATTTCGGCCGGACATTCGGGAGAAGAAGAAGGAAAAAAAGTGAGCGTCGCGGCCGGCGTTAAGGGCTCAATCGGGAATAACCTTTCGCCCTTCCTTGGGGAACGTTTTCACAAGCTGGCGACGATCAAGCCTCTCGTGCGCCGCTATGACGATCGAGTCGAGGAAATAAATATAACGTCCTCCTGAATACTGGGATTGGGGCAGATGAAAAATCGGAAGGCGAATGCGCTGCTGAGATGGGAAAGACCGAGCATATGAGAATATCTTTCATTTCTTCTTTCGAGGGGACCGAAAAGATACCCATACCGAAAAGATTTTTTGCCGTTTTTGAGCTAACATTTTACATGCAAAATATTTATTAAATACGCATTGCTTTTCAGTAACATTTAATTTTTATAACATCGTCGAAACAAAACGACTAAAACTTGTAAGCATTACGCAGATAAAAAGATTATAGAACTCCGTGGAGCGAAAGAAATTTGAGATCCTCCGAAGACGTAGAAAGAGTTGGACTGGCTCAATGCGTAAAAGTATATGTGAGTTATTGGATACTGAAAGTGATCGTTATCTCGATTATTTCTGGAAAAGATTGATGAAGTCAGAATCGAGGATCGCGTTGAGCTGTAAAAACAAGATGAAGGTGTGATTCGTTTCGTGGCTTCGAGACGAGCTTATTGGTGCGTAGAACAATTCCGAAAAATATTATCAGACGAAAGAAAATTTTATCGATGCTTTTTTGCTGTTGTTCAGTTTGCGTTGAGCTATTTAAAAAACAACTGTGCTTTTTCCATTCATCGAAAATAGTAATAACAGCGTAAAAGAAATAAAACGTTATTTTTTTTGCTCTTCACGGAAATACTCCGTCAATGCAGTTGGTAACGTTCTTTTCAACAACATGCCTACCTAGAAACGATTTACCATCAGCCTTAAAGCAAACTTAGACGCATTTCTAAAGCGAAGGCAAATCATTCAAACCGGAGGTCGAATGCCTATACGCAACTGCTAATCTGCGTTTTTTACGATTTCGTTTAAGAAAATGTAATCGTGCGTTTTGAAATCGATATAAAGGGATTGACGTTGAATTTGACAAAGGATTAAACAATTATTGAGCAAAACAAGGCACGCGGACGACTCAGGAATAAAATTTAAAAAAATGATTCGTTGAATTCCCGAGGAAAGGTGTACGTTTGACGAGAAATAGCGAGCTTTCGTTTATCCAAGATAACCAGAATGACATATGCGCAATAGTTACGTACAAGATGTCGGCAAGGGCGAGTGCTTGACGCATCGCGCAGCGCAACTGAAAGCCATCGGTGTACACGAGTGCATTACAGGCGGATGATTGACGAGCGCTTCGATTTCCGGCAACGCCTATGCGTTGCCGGCGAGAAGAGATGGGCAGGGTGCTATGGCGAGGGTTCGGGGAGAATTGCGCATCGCATCTCGGCACTTTACGCCCGCGAGACGTATAAACGCTCGGTAGCCGGTTATGGGGCTCCCGTAAATCATCAGGATATAGTGGCACTTGCACGTCGAGCTTCCGCTTGAAGAACGCGCCCGGCCTTCTCTAATTTACAATGGCCCCATGCAACGAACGCCTTTAACGGCGCGGCTCTCTGTTCTTACGGTGGAATTAAAATTGGCCTGCTCTCTTTATGGCGCGCGTGGTTTTAGAGGATGCGCTGCTATTGCCGTTGCTGCTGCTGCTGCTGCTGCTGCTGCTGCTGTTGTTGTTGTTGTTGTTTCGCTGGCTGGCAGGATCGTTGCCGTGCGTGCTGATTAACGATTTCGCAAAATAACTCGTAAAACCCTGCCGCCGGCAGCTTTCGTATTGCAATTAGCCGATGCTAAAAATACTTATTGTTCGTTGCTCTTTTCCTTCTCATTTTGCCCCGCATTTATAATCCTTGGGCGCCGTCGCCGTGATTTCTCAGCCGCGACATGTGCACCACACCCACAGAGAGAGAGAGAGAGAGAGCGCGCGTAATTTCCGACTTGTGCATCGCGCCTGTAACGGCTCCACTTCCATACATCTGGCGCGTTTGCGTGCGCGGGCTTAACTTTGACACCTATCGCTTGATAATATACACCACTCGGCGGGCCTTCATTACCGGCCTGGCTTTGCGTTTGCTGCCGTGCCGCCATTCGCACCACTTTAAGCACCAAATCTACTTTGTCAAGGATGCCTATCGAGCGATGTATTATGCCACAGCTTCGCCTCGATATGTTGAGGTGTCCACATTTTTCCTTCTCTAACAATTCAACAGAAATGATTGATGCTTCGCTGTTGTCGATTAAAGCGGCAAAATCAGGGCAAAATTCAGTCGAGCTGTCGTGGCTAAAGACGCGTGGCAAGAATGAGAAAGCACGGCGTACGGCGTATCGCAGATTTGATGTAGGTTTGATATTCAAATTCATTGTCAGCAGCGAGCGATCGAACGAAAAGCCGTGGTCACGGAGACAACAGTAGCCCTCAAGAATTATTGCGCCGCAAGCCATCGGGAAGAAAATAAGCCACTTGAAATTCGGTCGGCGTAGAGAGGGCGAAGCCACGGCAATCGTCCCGGGCGAAAGCGAAAAAAGGCGCAGACGATCCGGAGACAAAGAATCCGAGAGCCGTGGCGGCATTAAGCGCACGCGAGGCGAGCGACGGGTACGTAATTGCGCGCGCGCAGGAGTACCGGCCGCTGGTGACTTTATTACGCGCCGCGTCGCTCGTAAGTTTTTGTCATTCCGGCGCGCGCGCGCGGGCGCCGCCGTCGATCGAGAGGCGCTCCTGTACGGCCACATCTGCTGTTCGCGAGAATGCTGCTCGCCGGCCGCGCGCGACGCGAGATGTAGATTGCCGCGAAGAGCGCTTCGCGGAATGCAGCCTTTTATGTCACTCGGGCGTCGACTGGAAGGGAAAGCCGAAGCTTTTAATTGCTGCTCGCGAGCCGGGATAATTTCTTCATTCCTGCAAGTTCCGCGAACGGACGCCCCGGATGGCTCGGCAGCTTCGTGCTCGAGGTAATGGATTTCTAGGCTTTAATTGAGCGACTTTTATCGAGACTGGTGCGTTGCCAATCAGGCTACGACGTACCGACGCGTGGCTATACTAGCTAATTACTTGCCAAGTCCGCGCAATTAGATGCTAACGAAGTTGAGCAAAGCTCCGAATTAATTGCACCGGATGCATAATTTTTTACGGGACGCGCGGCAGACTCCATTCCGCGGTAAGTTCCTGCGCGGCCGATGTAATTCCGCGGCACGTAAAAATAATTAAGCGAACGGCGCGTCGCGCGCAATCAATGCCAGCGGCATTCCGGTGAGCTCGGAAGCGAACGGGCAGGGCCGCGAAAGTCGCGGGCCAACGAGCGATCGGCCGGACGGCGCTCGAGCGTAGCGAAGACGAGAGGAACGCGGGCAGCCGATGCGATATAGAGGCGCGAGATACGAAGCTATCATGGCGTGGTTTATGGCCTGGAAGGCTGCGGCTGCGCCAGCTCGCTCGCTCTGCCGCGGCCCATAATTAATGTTAATAGCCGTAATGGCAAATGTTAATGGCAAGTGCCGACTGACTAATCTTAATTTATACCCCACTAAAACCACTCGGCGTATATATCCCGCAGCCGCCAAGTTAATGCTCAGCGCCGCCGCCGTTGCGATAAGATCGCCGCCAGATTAAGATATTAAATATGGCCGGCGCGAAGAA